AGCCTCCAAAGTGACCATTGGTTCTGCTGGATTCTACTGGCCACACAGACTAACCCTAATCCAATGTGCCAATCCTTTACCCGCTGCCAATCCCTTCCCACACTATTTCCAAAATGTTCTTTACATAAGTAAAACTCTTCAAAGGCTCTCTGTTTCCTTCAGGGGAAAAATCAAGCTCCTTAGTATAGGATACAAAGCTACAGGTGACCCAGCAGGTGGCAGGAGGTCTAGTCCTACTCATCTTTGAATGCCTCTTTCTAGCCAAGATGTATTTATTCACATTTCCCAGAAGATGTCAGGATAATTCACTTCTCTGAGCCTTTTTATATGCTGTTCCCTTTTTGGAATATCCCCTTCCGCTTATTTCAACTGGCTCATTCTCCAAAACTCAGCAACTTGAGAGCAGGAATTGTTTCTGTGTCTCATCTGTCATGGCACCCACCACAGAGGGAATGTTGAACAAACGTTTACTGAGTGGAAACGCGAGTGGGCAGGCAGTTCCTGTGTGCTTGGGGCCCCAGTGGTGTGGTTGGCATACAAGATACAGCCAGCCCACATCTCATCACTTCCCCCCTTGGACTACCTTTCCTGCCCAACCATTTCCCTCTGCATGAATGACAGAGTTGGAAAAACAAATTCTGATTTGTGTGTGTGTGTGTGTGTTTTAATATTTCACTTATTTGAGAGAGAGAGAGAAAGAGAGACAGAGCACAAGTAGGGGGAGATGCAGAGGGAGAGGGAGAAGCAGACTTCCTGCTGAGCAAGGAGCCAGGTCATGGGATCATGACCTGAGCCAAAGGCAGACGTTTAACCGACTGAGCCATCCAGGTGCCTCTGATTTCTGTTTTTTAAAATATTATTTTAAGTAGGCTCCATACCCAATGTGGGGCTTAAACTCACAATGACCTTGAGATCAAGAGTCACATGCTCTACTGACTGAGCCAGCCAGGTGTCCCCAAATTCTGATTTCTATCCCGCCTCATTAGCTACTAGCTCTGTGACCTCAGGAAACTCATTTATTGCCTGTGAACCTCTAGTTTTCATCTACAGTAAGGGTAAAAGGAGAAGATAAGATGAATTACTTAAATTAATATTTATTGAACCAGATATCGTGCTAGGCACTCTCAAATAAATTAGCTTGAGTGATGGTCATAATATCTCAGTGAGACAGACTTTATACCCTTTCTACAGAAGAAGAAACTGCATCTCAGGGTACTCAGGTAGGTAACATGGGCCAAGATCACAAAACTGGAAGAAGATTTGGGGTAAGTGATTGTATCTTGGAAGCATTAGAAAAAATAAAGGGGCATCCAGGTCTCTTCCAGTTCTGCATGGCATGGGTTTTTTCCCCCCTCACCTTTTTCCTCAGATCTCAAGGATAGAGAGGCTCTGCTATTTCCCATCAGACCAACAGGTGCTGAGCACTACATCTCACTTCATGGTCCAAGTCCCCAGGGCCCCCTCCCCAAGTCTGCTCCTGCCGATTATGACAATGATCTCCAGCATTCCTTCTACATCTTAATTTTTTTAAGATGTTATTTATTTACTCATGAGACACACACACAGAGAGAGAGAGAGAGAGAGAGAGAGAGAGAGAGAGAGAGGCAGAGACACAGGCAGAGGGAGAAATAGGCTCCATGCAGGGAGCCTGACCTGGGACTCAATCCTGGATCTCAAGGATCGTGCCCTGCACTGAAGGTGGCACTAAACTGCTGAGTCACCCAGGCTGCCCTGCATCTTTATTTTAAAGCATTTTTACACCTGTCACATCTCACTAGATGGCGGAAAAGGAACGAGTCTTCCCATTTTATAGGTGAGACAACAGAGGTTCAAAAGGACTTGCCTGAAGTCACATGGTATCACTTATCAGCAGGACAATAGGCTCCAGCAAAGGCTCACAGGCCCGTGGAGTGGAGTCGAGTGGACACGTTTCTGGCTGACCGGCAAGCAGAAGAGTTGCGTTGTAGAACAAGAACCACTGGCATACCAGACAGACCTGGGTTCTGAGATCCTCTGGCTACAAAACTACCACAGTTCAAGAACAAATACAAAGCACCGTAGTTCAGAAAGACTAGGTCAGTGTCAGGAGCTCATCTTCTAGTCCAGGCAGGATAGAGAGATTAAGAACTCCTTGGAGGCAGAAACTTATTTTGCCTTTGTATACCTGGTGCCTAGCACAGTTCTGGCACTTTTTTTTTTAAGATCTTATTCATCCAACCATGAGAGACACACACAGAGAGGCAGAGACACAGGCAGAGGGAGAAGCAGGCTCCATGCAGGGAACACGACGTGGGACTCGATCCCCGGTCTCCAGCATCATGCCCTGGGCCAAAGGCAGTGCTAAACTGCTGAGCCACCCGGGCTGGCCTAGTCCTGGTAGTTAATACATGTTTGTTGACTTGGGTATGGGATTTGGAAGGAAGGGAGCAGAAGAGGAAACTTGAGTGAGTTTAGAGTCAAGAATCCAAGGGAGAGAAAGTCTAGAAAGTGTGAGTCCAGGAGAGACACTCCAGGCATTTGTGGTCCTGGTTTCTTTACTCTAAGCCACGAGGACATCCTCCAGAGGCACGGGGTGCTGTGGCTTTAAATGACTTCAGCGTGTCAATGAATCCGCTCTGCTAAAAGAGTTATCCTCTTGCTCCTGCGCTTGGCCTCCCCCTCCTCCCCTCCTCGCAGCTCCCCAAACCCTTCTCGGCCGCTGTGATGGGATAATTAGATGCGAGAGCTCAGCACAGATGATGCTCCAGTTGCTTAGCAACTAATGGTTTCCATGGAGACCGCAAAGCACAGCCTCCAGAGCAGCCAGTGAGCAGCTCGGCAGGGCAGGGAGAAGACGCAACTCTCAGTTCCTCCAGAAACCTGGGGAGGGCCGGGGTGGGGAAGGGGGGCTGGAGGCAAAAGGGAGGGCTTAAAGGCACAGGGCCCTGTTATCCCTTTAAAATCTGGTCAGAGCTCTGCCCTGCCCTACCCCACTCTGTCCCACTCGTAATTTCAGATGGGTGGTGGGCTTAGGCGCGGACCGCCACAACCACCCTGCAATAAACTCTGCCTCTTCTTTCTGCTTCCTGGTCTGTGACTGAAATGGGAAGAGATACCTCCCAAGCCCAAGCGTAAACATCCTCCCAGGTTAGTGCTGGGATTTGAAGAGCACCAGAAGACCGCCTCACCCCCTAGGATGACACCACCCAGCTTGTCCCTTCTCTCCAAAGTTCTCCTCACTGTGCAAATGGTCCTCTTTCAGTTTGTAGAATGAGGATGTAGGATCTGATCAGATAAAGGACAAAAGCCAAGGTGCAAGAAAAACAGAATTCAATTCTTCACCCCAAGACAGCCTATGCGGGGAGACTGGGGGAAAACACCTGCCCCTAGTCTCCACCTAAGAGGAGCCAGTGTGTGTGTGTATGTGTGTGTGTGTGTAGGGGCATACGGTACAGAGCATGTGGCTATTCAGTGTGAGCCTCTCAGACTGGCATCCATCGGCATTACCTGGAAGCTCATTAGAAATGAAGACTTTTAGGCTTCACCTAAGACCCACTGAATCAAACTGCGTCTCAACCAGAGCCTTAGTGATTCACAGGCACAGTAAATGTGGAGAAGTGCTGGTCTAAGACCCTCCTACCCTCTGTTTGGGAACCCCTGAGTTCTCTTTTTAATTTTTTAAAAATATTTTGTTTATTTATTCATGAGAGACACAGAGAAGCAAAGACATAGGCAGAGGGAGAAGCAGGCTCCCTCTGGATGCAGGACTTGATCCCAGGACCCCGGGATCACACCCTGAGCCAAAGGCAGACACTTAACCACTGAGCCCCCGGGGCATCCCTGGGTCCATGAGTTTTATCTTCACCATCACCCCCTGCTCACACTCCAGCTTGAATCTCCCCCTCCACCCTGGGGGTAAGGACGCAACCCCACCCACCCCTCATTTCCTCATGGGACCCTGGCCCTTCCCTGGACCAGGGAAGACAGGATGGTTCATGATGCAGAGACATACATCAGCACTCCCTGTGCAGCTCTCGGCCTCTCCTGGCCAAGCACCCCACCCACCTTCCACAAGTGACTCCTTCTGAGTCTGTTTCCACATCTGCAAAAGGGACCCAGTGACATGTCCAGCTCACGATAGCTGCAAGGATAAATATGTTGGCACATGCCCTGTGCCCAGAGTGGATACCTTCTCCTTGTTGCTCCTTGCTTTCCGCTTGCAACTCCTCCCTCACTTCTGTCTGAGCACAGGGGTAGGGGGTGCAGTTGGAGGAGTTGGGTCTCTTTTTCTTTTCTCTTACCAGGTGTCTCTCCTCTCTTCTCAAGCAGCTTGACAATGGTTGCTGACCAAGGCTGACGGTGCCCCCTCCCCCGTCTCTCTGAAAGTCTTCCCTAACATCCCTTCACCCTACTCTCCAGAAGAATCTGAAGCCCCACACACTCCCTGGCGCCAGCACCCTTAGGCCCCTCCCACAGCAGCAATATCTGGGCCTTGGGGGACACCCCATGAATTGGAACCCTTGGCTCTGCTGACGCCATTCCCCTACTATCAGCTTCAATTTCCCTCCCATCCTTGCCGGCCGAGGCCCTGTCAGGAGCTCCCTGCCCTGGCATCACTCCCCTCTTCTGGCATACCAGGGCAATCTCAGAACTTGTCCCCCTCCTGGAAGATTCCCACTGTCTGGGGGAGCAGTCCTCTATGGGCCATGCTCCAGACACAGGGGCAGACAGGAATCCTCAGGCCCTAACGTGGGAGTTTCAGAGGAAGGGGTGACTTCCACCTCCACCTTAGTTACCCTGAGCCTCTGCAGCTGACTAAGCCATCAAGATCCAGCCAGGGCATCCCCACTTCTGGCCTGAAAGCCAGCTCCCCATCCTGAAAAACCTGTCTGGGGGTCTGCCCTGAGGCTGTAATACCCAAAGGGCAGGTTGGACAGGATTCCCCTCCAGCCACTCCCACCCCAAGACAAAATCAGCCACCCCAGGGGCCCGGCCTCACTTGCGGAAGCCAGGAAGCCACAGCCAGTTCTAGCTCCTAGCCCAGCTATGGCCTCCCTGCTGCCCTTCCGGACCTTGCCCTTGATCCTGATCCTGCTGACTGTCCTGGCCCTGGGTGCTGCAGGTCTCTGCCATCTCTGGTGGGCTGTGGGGGGGGGCAACCAAGGCCTGCACGGGAGGCACTGTGCCCTCCGGGGCTCTCAAAGAGGAGCTAGTCCAGCCAGTTGGGGGTGGAGGGGGTGGAGGGCCGGTGATGGGGAGAAGCAGGCTCCCAGCGGGGAGCCCGATGCGGGACTCCATCCTAGGACCCCAGGATCACGCCCGGAGCCAAAGGCAGATGCTCAACCACTGAGCCACCCAGGCGTCCCCCAGGACACACTCCTGGTCCTCTTTCAAACCCAGGGGGCAGAGAGACGTGGGGAGAACCCAAAGCTAGGAATTGGGGTAAGGTTGGTGGCTGCCCCCTCCTGGCATCCGGAGCCAGCGGCGAGGGGGACCGTCCAGCTTCTGCAGCCCAAGCCTGCCACCTGGTGGTCACACAAGCAAAGGCCCGTGTCTGCCAGCGAGCGGTAGAGTGGAAGGGGAGGTCTCCGCACCCTTCCGGGCGGCCCCCAGATCTGATGGTGGGGAAGGGGATTGGTTGCCCCCACCCCGAACTCCCTCTTGGCCCCCCAGACTTCAACATCTCAAGCGTCTCTGGTCTGCTGTCGCCGGCGCTAACGGAGAGCCTGCTAGTTGCCTTGCCCCCCTGTCACCTCACAGGGGGCAACGCCACACTGATGGTCCGGAGAGCCAATGACAGCAAAGGTTTGCTACCCCCCTCCCAAGGTGGCCCCTTAGTCCCTTGAGGCCCCTCCCCAGGGCACCACCAGCACCCCTTCTCCCGCTCCTGCCTTCCCCCTCTCCTTGGGGCCTCCAGACACACAACCCTCACGTCACCCCCTGATTTCCTGCCCAGTGGTGAAATCTAGCTTCGTAGTGCCTTCCTGCCGTGGGCGCAGGGAGGTGGTGAGTGTGGTGGACAGTGGGGCTGGCTTCACAGTCACCCGGCTCAGCGCATACCAGGTGACAAACCTCGTGCCAGGAACCAAATACTAGTAGGTACCAGATCCAGGCCTAGAATCCCTGGGGGAGGGGGTGCAGGGAGAGAAGATGGGTGCTGACAGTTGGTGGTGGGGAGGGATTGGGTCAGCTTGGGGTGAAAAAGTGAGGACACAGCTGAAGGGGTCAAGGACGGGCCCCTGGATGCCTGGGCTCCCTCTCTCTTTTCCCAAGGCCCAGATGATCACTGAGGAGTCTCTCCTTTCTCTCCCAAACCCCACCACCAAAGCATTTCCTACCTAGTGAGGAAGGGGTCGTCCACCGAGTCCAGTAGAGAGATCCCAATGTCCACGCTGCCTCGTAAGTCATATCAGGGCCCCCAAATCTTCCCTGGCCCTCCCACCCCATCCCCCATAGTTGTCCCTCCCTGTGCTCCCTTAGTTTCTTTGCTCACCCGGATCCTGAGCCTTTGGCGTTTTACCTGCCCGTTGACCCATCTCCTACACTAAAGGTCCTACGTGGGTAGGCATCATGTCCAATTAATTTCTGTATCTTCAGTGACCAACATGGGAGATGCTTCATAAATGTTTACCTGATCGATGTGTGGATCAGTTGACTGGTTGGATGAATAAATGGATGGAGGACAGCTGGAGGAGACAGAGTGCCTGGGGTCGGGATGGGGGCTTCTCCTGCCCACAAAGTCCTCCCCCATCTCTCTTCTGACAGGAAGGCAGGCGGAATCCATTGGGCTGGGAATGGCCCGGACAGGGGGCATGGTGGTCATCACAGTGCTGCTCTCGGTCGCCATGTTCCTGCTGGTTCTGGGCCTCATCATCGCCCTGGCCCTGGGCGCCCGGAAGTGAGGAGGCCAGCGCCAGGCAGCAGGCCTTCAGGAAGCCCAGGACACGGTGCATTTCTCCAGCCCACAGCTTTGCCCTCTGTGCCCGCTTCCTCTCCTGAGAAGAGGCCTGCTCTCAGGCTTCAACCATGGGGCTTTGGCTCCTTGGGTGCCTTCACCTCTCCTCCCCGCCCCTCTCTCACTGGAGCCTCACCTCCCAGCACTCCCTATAATCCCCTCAGCCCACTCCTGTCAGAATCAGAATCAATGCTCCTCCCACATCACCTCCTTAATTACCACCCAACCCCCTGCCAAGAATTCACCCTTCCCTCAGTGCCAGAAGTCCCCTCAATAAATTGTGATGCCACATCTGCCCTGTGTTTCCCTTCTGTGAGCTCCACCTGGATGGGGACAGGACCTACATCAGGCAGCAGAGGCTCCCAGGCCCCTCCCTGCCCCACAACCCAGAGCTGCTTCCGGAAGGAGGCAGGAAGGCCTAGATGAGATTAGCAGCAGGAGTCAAGAGTTCTCAGACCACACCTGGGCTGTGGGTTTTGCAACCCTCCATCCTCCGCAGCAGGCAGCAGGCCACCCTCCAGGGCCTGGTGCCCATTGTGGGAGGGTCTAGAGGCCAAAGGTCTTGGGATATTGGGAGAGCTAAAGGAAGTCCTGGGGAAAGGGGTACAGGCTCTGACTGGGGACAAAGAGGGCCACCAGGGTGACACCTTGGACAGGGTGCTGGGGATGGGAGAAGTGGAGAATAGGCTAAGGGGCCTGGAGGAGGAGGCAGAAGTGAAAGAATCCTGGGCGCGGGGAAATGAGAGTGGTACAAGCTAGTAGCTGAGGGAAAAGAACAAGAGTGGTCCCCTTTCCCGTACATATCCCTTGTAAAGATCAGTGACCTTTGTATTGATCTTAGGGGAGACACCAGGATCTTTAAGGCGACAACTGTCAAGACCAGGTCTCTCCTCTAACTGCCCCTCTGTTCTCACTGTGTTCTCTCTGATGTCCTGTGTTCCTTCTTGCCTCAGGGCCTTTGCACAGACTTTCTCTCAATCTGAAAGAAAGAAAAGAAAAGAAAAGAAAAGAAAAGAAAAGAAAAGAAAAGAAAAGAAAAGAAAAGCAAGAGAGGAGATGAACACTAGAACCTTCTTTGTCTGGGTGGGCCTAACAGAGCTAAGGCCTGAAGTCAGGAGAGACTGGCAGGGAGATATGCCCTGTGGAGAGAATGGTCTGGACTGTGCTTTGCCGCCTAATTGCACCAGCCAAGTGCAATTGGAGCCCAACCTCGGGTCGGGGGAAGAGCATCAGACTAAGAGCCAAAGTGCACTGCACACTGGATTCAACCAGAGGACTTTAAAAAACTCCAACACAGGAATCCCTGGGTGGCGCAGCGGTTTGGCGCCTGCCTTTGGCCCAGGGCGCGATCCTGGAGACCCGGGATCGAATCCCACGTCGGGCTCCCGGTGCATGGAGTCTGCTTCTCCCTCTGCCTGTGTCTCTGCCTCTCAATCTCTCTGACTATCATAAATAAATAAAAATTAAAAAAAAAAAAAAACTCCAACACAGGGATCCCTGGGTGGCTCAGTGGTTTGGCACCTGCCTTTGGCCCAGGGCGCAATCCTGGAGTCCCAGGATGGAGTCCCACGTCAGGCTCCCAGCATGGAGCCTGCTTCTCCTTCTGCCTGTGTCTCTGCGTGTCCCCCCCACCAACATGAATAGGTAAATAAAATCTCTAAAAAAATAAAAAAAATAAAAAAGTCCAACAGCTAAGCCATACCCTACACCAGAATCAGAATGACTGGGGTGGCAACCAGACATTAGTATCTTTTCAAGATCCCCAGGAGGTTCCTATGTGAGCTGAAGTTTGGAACTTATCCATATAAACGTTTTTTTTAATTGTGGGGAAATATACGTAACATGTAATGTACTATTTTAATCATTTCTGTACGTTCAGTTCCGTGGCATTAAACACATTCCCATTGCTGGGCGACCGCCACCAGCATCATCTCCAGAACTTTTTCAGTATCCCAAAGAGAAATTCTGTACCCATTCCCTCCTCCTGCCAACCCTTATCAACCACCATTCCACTTTCTGTCTCTACAAATTTGGCCCTTCTAGGTATCTAATTAAAGTGGAATTGTGCACAATTTGTCTTTCTGTGTCTGGTTTATTTCACCTGGCACAATATTTCCTAGGTTCATCTGTGTTGTGGCCTGTGCCCGAGCATTTTTTAAATTTATTTTTTAATTCATTTTTAAGGCTAAATAATATGCCATTATATGTAGAGAACACATTCGTTTATGCATTCACCTGCTGATGGACATTTGTGTTGTTTCCACCTTTTAGTTATTGTACAAGCATCTGTTCAGGTATATGCACTCAGTACTTTTGGGTGTATACCCAGAAGTGGAATGGCTGGATCATGTGGTGATTCTGTTTAATTTTTTGAGGAACCGTTATACTATTTTCCACAGGCCCGCACCATTTTACATTCTCACTGGCAATGCACCAGGGTTCTAATTTTTCCATATCCTCATCAACTCTTATTATTATTTCCTGCATTTTGTTTATTTATTTGTTTTTATGATAGCCATCCCAATGGATGTGAAGTAGTATTTCTTTATAATTTTCATTCGCATTTCCCTAATGATTAGTGATGTTGAGAATCTTTTCACATCGTTATTGGGACATTAGTATACCTTTTTTTGTTTTTAAGATTTTATTTATTTATTCATGAGAGACACAGGCAGAGGGAGAAGCAGGCTCCACGCAGGGAGCCTGACGCGGGACTTGACCCTGGGTCTCCAGGATCAGGCCCTGGGCTGAAGGCGGCGCTAAACCACTGAGCTACCCAGGGTGCCCTAGTACACCTTCTTTGGAGAAATGTCTATTCAACTTCTTTGTTTTCTTTCTTTCTTTACTTATGAGAGAAAGTGAGTGACGGAAAGGTCAGAGGGAGAAGCAGACTCCTGGCTAAGCAGGGAGCCAACAGGGGTTCTATCTCGGACCCATGAGATCATGACCTGACCAAAGGCAGATGCTTAACCGACTAAGCCACTCAGGTGCCCCTTTGCCTCTTTTTATTTTTTTAAACTGAATCTTTTTAATTAATTAATTTATTTATTCATGAGACACAGAGAGAGAGGGAGAGAGAGAGACAGAGACACAGGCAGAGGGAGAAGCAGGCTCCACGCAGGGAGCCCGACGCAGGACTGGATCCCGGGTCTCCAGGATCATGCCCTGGGCTGCAGGCGGCGCTAACCCGCTGAGCCACCCGGGCTGCTCTGCCTCTTTTTAAATTGAGTGTATGTGTGAATTGTAGTTCTTTATATATTATGGATAGTAATGTCTTATAGGATATATGACTTGTATGATAAAACATTTTTAAATGGTAGACTGATTTGAAAAGGCCTATTGAAGAGCAAATGTATTACAATAATGTTGGGGGGGCAGTCCCGGCGGCACAGCGATTTAGCACCATTGCAGCCGGGGTGTGATCCTGGAGACTCAGGATCGAGTCCCACGTCAGGCTCTCCACATGGAGCCTGCTTCTCCCTCTGCCTGTGTCTCTCTGCCTCTCTCTCTCTCTCTCTCTCTCTCTCTCTTTCTCTCTCTGTCTTTCAGAATAAATAAATAAAATCTTTAAAAAAAATAATTTTTTGACAAAACAAAAATGAAACACCCATATGGAAAAATTTTGGAAGCATATACGCCAAAATGCAATTACTAACTCTGATTGATTCAAAGAATGATTTTTTTCTTTATTGTTGCTCCTTTTGCATTTTTTTAAAAAGATTTATTTATTTATTAATGAGACACACACACACACACAGAGGCAGAGACATAGACACAGGCAGAGGGAGAAGCAGGCTCCCCCCAGGGAGCCAGATGCGGGACTCGATCCGGGATCCTGGGATCATGACCTGAGCCAAAGGCAGGTGACAAACTGCTGAGCCCCCAGACATCTCTCCTTTTGTGTTTTCTATATTTCCAAGTTTTCTGCTTCAAGCATGTTTTTTTTCTATTTAAATTCTTTTTTTTAAAATTTTTATTTATTTATGATAGTCACACACACACACACACACACACAGAGAGAGAGAGAGAGAGAGACAGAGACAGAGACAGAGACACAGGCAGAGAGAGAAGCAGGCTCCATGCACCGGGAGCCCGACGTGGGATTCGATCCCGGGTCTCCAGGATCGCGCCCTGGGCCAAAGGCAGGCGCCAAACCACTGCACCACCCAGGGATCCCTCTATTTAAATTCTTAAAAATTGTTTTTAAAGATTTTGTTCATTTCTGAGAGAGAGTGCATGCAAGCTGGGGAGGGGCAGAGGGAGAGGGACAAGCAGACTCCCCGCTGAGCAGGGACCCTGATGTGGAGCTCCATCCCAGGACCCTGAGGTCAGAGCCTGAGCTGAAGTCAGGTGCTTAACCAACTGAGCCACCCCTTATTTTATTTTTTTAAAGTAATCTCCACACCAATGTGGGGCTCGAACTCAACCCAGAGGGATGAAGATGCTCTACCCACTAAGCCATCCAGGTAACCCAAACATAAATTATTTTTACAATTAGAGAAATTAGGGACACCTGGGTGACTCAGTGGTTGAGCAACTGCCTTCGGCCCCGGGCGTGATCCTGGAGTCCCAGGATGGAGTCCCACATCGGGTTGCCTGCGTGGAGCCTGTTTCTCTGCCTATGTCTCTGCCTTTCTCTCTCTCTCTGCGTGCCTCTCATGAATCAATAAAATCTTAAAAAAAAAAAACAATTAGAGATATTAGCATTAAAACTACTATTATTGGTATTAAAGGTAGAGTCCTAGCAAATTTTTAAAAGGGAAGCTGTTGTTTTCACTGTAGTTAAAAAAACATTTATTGAGGTATCCTCAAAGTTCCTGGTCTATTAGACAAGCCACAGGTAGCACAGTACAGGATGCATGGGATCTGACAGGGAGCCCAGATGCCCAGAAGAACCAAAGGGGGCTAGTTTACCCACTGGTCAAATCTGGGACAATTTTAGAATTATAGAATTTTATAATAATTATAGTAAGTTGTTATAATTAATAATTATAAATAATGCACTCTAAGAATCCTTTGGATCCATACTGACAACAAACAAATATGAGATAAGGGGGTGCCTGGCTGGCTCAGTTGGTGGAGCATGCGACTCTTGACCTCAAGGTTGTAAGTTCAAGCCCCATATTGAGTGTAGAAGCTACTTAAAATCCCAACCTCTTGGAAGTTAAAAAATAAATAAATAGGGGCACCTGGGTGGCTTAGTCGGTAAACATCTGCCTTCAGCTCAGGTCATGATCTCGCGGTTCTGGGATGAAACCCCACATTAGGCTCCCTGCTCAGCAGGGAGTCTGCTTTTCATCTGCCCCTCCCCTCCCTTGCTCATGCTTTCCTCTCTCTCTCAAATAAATAAAATCTTAAAAATAAATTAATTAATTTAATTAAATAAGGGGCACCTGGGTGGCCTAGTCGAGTGTCTGCCTTTGGCTCAGGTCATAATCACAGGGTCCTGGGTTCAGGCCTGAATTGGGCCCCATGTTTGGCTCCTCACTTGGTGGGGATCCTGCTTCTCCCTCTGTCCCTCCCCCTGGCTTGTGTTCCTTCTATCTTTCTCTCTCTCAAATAAATAAATTAAATCTTAAAAAAAATAATAGGGGCACCTGGGTGGCTCAGTGGTTGAGGGTCTCCTTTCAGCTCAGGTCATGATTCCGGGGTCCTCGAATCGAGTTCCGCATCAAGCTCCTGCAGCGAGCCTGCTTCTCCCTCTGCCTATGTCTCTGCCTCTCTCTCTGTGTCTCTCATGAATAAATGAATAAAATCTTTAAAAATAAATAAAGTCTTTAAAAAATAGGTGCACCTGGGTGGCGCAGTTGGTTGAGCATGATTCTTGGTTTCCGCTCAGGGTCCTGGACCCGAGCCCTGCATTAGGCTTGTTGCGCAACAGGAAGTCCACTTAAGATTCTCTCCTCCTTCTGCTCCTCTCTCTCTCTCTCTCTCTCTCTCTCTCTCTCTCTCTCTCTCTCTCTCTCTCAATAAATAAATAAATTAATAAATTGTTAAAAATATATGAGATACAGAAAAGCTCTTCCTTATAATAGAATGTCAATTAAATAAATGATGAATTTAGAGAAATCATTTTTTTTAAATTTTTATTTATTTATGATAGTCACAGAGAGAGAGAGAGAGAGAAGCAGGCTCCATGCACCGGGAGCCCGACGTGGGATTCGATCCCAGGTCTCCAGGATCGCGCCCTGGGCCAAAGGCAGGCACCAAACCCGCTGCGCCACCCAGGGTTCCCTAGAGAAATCATTTTACATTCATCATAGAAATGATTGATTCTGGCAAAAATTATAAATGGATATTAGAATTAATGGGCCTAACCTTGATGAGGAATAGGATTTTTTTTAAGGTTTTTTTTTTTTCAGAACAGGATTTTATTTTTTTTAAATAAAGATTTAAGTAATCCCTACACCCAAGGTAGGACTCAAACTCACACCCTGTAATCAAGAGTCACATGCTCCGTCGACTGAGCCAGCCAGGTGTCCTGAGGAATAGGATTGTAGATCAAAGTATCTTCCCACAAATTACTTACTAATTACAAAAGAGAGAGAGCAGGGGGGGGAAATGTAACTACCCTTGAGAAACCTGGTGGCTACCACTAAACCAAGTGATTGAAGTTAACATCACTTGAATAATAAGAGACACTGGCATCGCATGCCTCTTGATGTGAGTGACTGAGAAGGAAGCAACATTTCATGTGATATTCTTGTCCAAAATGCACAAGTCTAATTATGAGGAAACATCAGACAAACCCAAACTAAGAGACGTTTTACAAAATAAATGGCCTGTACTCTTCCCAAAATGTCAATGTTGTGAAAGATTTAAAAGGCTGAGAAACTGCTCAGGATGAAAGGAAGACAAAAGGAGTGCCTGGGTGGCTCAGTCAGTAAAGCGTCTGCTTTGGTCAAGATCCCAGGGTCCTGGGATGGAGCCCCATGCAGCTCGCTGTCCAGTGGGGAGTCTGCTTCTCCCTCTCCCTCTGCCCCCCCCTTATGCTCGCTATCTCAAATAAATAAATAAAATCTTAAAAAAAGAGGACAAAGGCTTGTAGGTGAAATGCAATGCATGAGCCTGAATCAGATCCTAGACCAGAGAGCAAATGTATACAAAGGATGTCACTGGGACAATTAGTGAAATTTGAATAAAATCTGTATGTTAAATATAGTGTTGAGTCAATGTTAAATTTTCTGATTTTGATAATGTTCTCATTTCTGGTTTTCTGGTTATGTATGCCAATATCCCTGCTTTTAGGAAATACACACGGAAGTATTTATGGGTAAAGGGGCATTAAGGTGTGCAAATTAGTCTTAGTTCAGAAAAAATAATCAGTGTCTTGTATACGGAGAGAAAAATTAAAATGTGATAAAATATTAATACTTGGCGTCATTGGTGGATTACAGGATCCAGGGATACAGGAATTTTTATACTATTCTTGGGACTTTTCTGTAAATTTGAAATTATTAAAAACAAAACAAAAAAAACCCAAACCCACCCTCCAATCCTATCTCCACCAAGTACTACGGGTGAGATCTTGGCTAAGCCGTAAAATCTATCAGAACCTCTAGAAAGTAGCTATTAATGCGACCACGGGATCGTTCATCAGTGGTCCAGAAACGTAGTAAACGCAGGAAGAGCTTCGTGCAAACGCCGAGCGGGAAGAGGACCTGGCGCCCTTCCTTTCGGGCCCCCAGGGCCCCCATAAAAGCGTGGAGGGTAGAGGCGCGAGGTGGCGGGAGCAGCGCGTGGAGGCCGCGGCGAGGCGAGGCGTCAAACTGGAGCCGCTCCGCACCTGAGCGGGCCGCGCCGGGCCGAGGAAGCCGCGGAGCCTCCTGCCTCTGCCCGGGACCTGTGCCCTCCCCGAAGGTGGACCTCAAACTCCAGCTCCGCGACCTCTGGGCCAGCCTCCATGGCCAGGTCCCGGGCTTGCTGGACTGGGACATGGGCAATGAGTCCTTCCTGGCCTTCACCACGGCGCACCTGCCCCTGGCCGAGCAGAACCGTGAGCGCGGGCCGTGGGGGAGGGGCGCCGCGGGGGGGGCGGGGCGCTCGGACCCCAGGACCCCTGGGACCCCGCGGGCCGGCCCGGAGCCTCGGCCTTGGGGTCCCACGCCCCTGGGCGGAGTGGGCGCCCCCTCCCCCGCCCCCACCCGGGGGGAGGGGAACGCGGGGCTGCGGGGGGAGAGCCCACGGGGTGGGCGCGGGTCCAGCAGCCACCTGCCACCCCCGCCGCACCCCTCACTGTGTCCCAGAACCTTCTAGGCCTCGCCAAGCCCCCTTTCCCACGGCGCCTACCGCCCTTGGGCACGCCACACATTTTTTAGTCGTTGTTCTGTTTCTTAAAAAAGTTATCAGTTTTGCTGGAGGCTGAAGCCCCCCTCTTAGTACACTGGCCGATACCGAAAGGCGCTCAATATTTGCTGAACGGTCGTGCTCTTTTTTTTTTTTTTGGAAGGACTTTTGGCGGGGGGACCTGGAGGGCAGAGGGAGGTGATTACCTCGTGGTACATTATGGCCATCTGTTTGGGCAAGGTGCTTGGATTAACCATTGTCCTGGTTCAATGCACCACCCCCGCCTTCCATCACCTCCCACAGTCCCATGTATCTACCCTTAATTGGGTTTTGTTTTGTTTTGTTTTGTTTTAAATTCGTAAGAGACATAGGCAGAGGGAGAAGCAGGCTCCTCCGAGAGCCCCATGCGAGGCTCCACCGTGGACCCCGGGATCACGACCTGAGTGGAAGGCAGATGCTCAACTGCTGAGCCACCCAGGCGTCCCCACCCTAATTGTTTTAATGTCTTTAGATAGGTGTATCTTTGAGAACTCTTTAACATTATTTTATGTTTACAGATGACCTTAATTAATGCTCCTTGTTTTTTTTGTGTGTGTGGTTTTTTTTTGTTTTTGTTTTTGTTTTTGTTTTGTTTTTTTTTTTTTGCCTGCTTCCATTGTTTTTTAGAGCTACTCTGGTTGCTGAACAAATATCTGATTATTTCCCATAGCGCAGTGATATTCTGTCATCTGCATATACTATCTTTTGCATTTTAGTTCTCCTTTGGCTCTCTCTGCCACTATAAGTAATGCTAAGAATTCCTATATCTTCATTGATTAAGAAATATTTATTGAGCACCTCCAATTTGCAGGTGATGTTCTAGACACTGGTGATCTATAACGAACAAAACAGACAAGTCTAAATATTTTATTTCTTTTTTCATGAGAGACACAGAGAGACAGAGGCAGAGGGAGAAGCAGGCTCCGTGCAGGAGCCTAATGCGGGACTCAATCCCTGGATCACGACCTGAGCCAAAGGCAGATGTTCAACTGCTGAGCTACCCAGACGCCCCTGGCTGCAGTTTTTTTTTTTTTTTAAGATTTTATTTATTTATTCATGACAGGCAGAGAGAGGCAGAGACACAAGCAGAGGGAGAAGCAGGCTCCATGCAGGGAGCCCAACGTGGGACTCCATCCCAGGTCTCCAGGATCACACCCCATGCCAAAGGCTGTGCTAAACCGCTGAGCCACCCGGGCTGCCCCTTTTTTTTTTTTTTTTTTTTTTTTTGGCTGCAGTTTTAAATAGGGTCATCAGGTTGGGTTTCCTTGGGAACATAATATTGGAGCAGAGTTGAGGAGGTGAGACAATGAGTCAAAAGGATATTTAGAGGAAAAGTTTCTCAGAAGAAATAGGGTAAAACTCCTAAGGAGGGAATATACCTGGAGTGTTTGAGGCACAGGAAGGAGGCCAGTGAAGCTGGGTCAAACTTAAATACAGAAGGAAGTTCAGAGGGTGTGGAGCAGAGATCCAGAAGAGCCTATGTTCCACTCTAAGAACCTTCGAGTTGATATTTTTTTTCCTTCGAGTTGATTTTGAGTAAGAGGTGACACGGTTAAAAGGTTTTGAGCAAAGAAGTGATGTGATTCATGCTTCCCAAGTGTGTGACCCATGTAAAGGGGGCAAAGGGGGCTGGTACTTGGCTTCATGCTCTGCTATCACTGTCTTGAGATTTTTAATTTTTGAGCAAGGAACCCTTCGTTTTCATTTGGCACTGGGCCCTGCAAATTATGTAACTGATGCTGCGTGATCTATATTCTAAAAAGATAGCTGTGGCTGTTGGGTGGAGGGTATATTATAAATTTGGAGATAAGAAGCCAGCAGCCTTAGGCTGCTACTGTGATCCAGACAAGAGATGGTGGTAGGCTGGAGGGTCAGAGTGGTGGCAGATGATGGATATGGAGTGTAAGAAAGTGAGACTAGAATCACTCCTCCAGGGACACCTGGGTGGCTCAGCAGTTGGGTGTCTGCCTTCATTCAGCCCAGGGCATGATTCTGGAGTTCTGGGATCGAGTTCCACATTGGGCTCCTGCTTCTCCCTCTGCCTACGACTCTGCCTCCATGTGTGTCTCTCATGAAAAAATAAATAAAATCTTAAAAAAAAAATTCCTCCTCCAAAGTTTTGGCTGATTAAGTAAAAAAATGGAGAGGCCTGATACTGAAACAGGAGAAGCTTCTGGTAGGACAGATTTAGGGAGGAAGATCAGGAATTCTGTTCAGGACATGCTGAGTTTGGCATACTTCTTAGATCTCCAAGTAAAAATGTTGAGTAAGCAGGTGGATATATAAGTCTGGAGTACTAGAGGGAGGTATATCTTGAGTCTTTGGTATGTGGGTAGCATTCAAGGAGTGAGAAAAACCAAGCATGAGCCCTGGGGATATCTCATTGTAAAGATACTGGAGAGAAAAGAGATAACCAGCCAAAATTAAGGAAATGCCCCTTGAGAACCAAAACCGAGAAATCACAGTCTCCTGGAAGGAAGGGAAGAAAGCGTGTCAAGGAAGGAGTGGTCAGATGAGAGGACTAGCCCTTGGGAGGTCAGGTGTGAGGTATAAGGACAATTGGATTTAGCACAGCAGATGTCGTTGGTGACCATGATGATGGTGGTTTGGGTGGGGTGGTAGAGATGAAAGCCTGATTGGAGGCACCTGGGTGGCTCAGCAGTTGAGCATCTGCCTTTGGCTCAGGTCATGATCCCAGGGTCCTGGGATGGAGTCCCACATCGGGCTCCCTGTGGGGAGCCTGCTCCTCCCTCTACCTATGTCTCTGCCTCTCTCTCTGCGAGTCTTATGAATAAATTAATTAATTAAAATTTTTAAAAAGCCTGATTGGCAAGGTTTCAAGGGTGGAAGGAGAAGTGGAGATCGAAAGAAAAGGGGATTCTTTCTAGGGGTTCTGCCTCAAAGGAAAACGCAGAGCACAGTGGCCTGGCACAGAAAATGGGTGCCAAAGAACGTCTGTTCAATAAGATGAGAATTAACATCATACTTGAATGCTGATGAGAACAATCCAACAGACATACACACACCAAAAACAGTAAATAGAGGAGTGGTTGGTTGGAACATTGTCCTTGAGAAAGCATGAGGACATCTGTGCCAGGAAGGGAGGGATGTCCTTAAATAGTGATTGCATCTTTTTCCCATGAATGTCTAGTTTATTCTTTGATAGGTTAATTCCTAGATACTTTATAATTTTTTAAAAGGTTTTATTTATTCATGAAAGACAGAGAGAGGGACAGAGACATAGGCAGAGGGAGAAGCAGGCTCCCTGCAGGGAGCCCAATGTGGGACTCAACCCAGGACCCCAGGATCACGCCCTGAGTGGAAGGGAGATGCTCAACCACTGAGCCACCCAGGCGCCCCATATACTTTATAATTTTGATGCAACTGCAACCAAATAATATAATAATAAGTAATAGAAATTTCATTTTCCAGTTTCTTCATGCTGCTATGGTAGGAACAGTGTTGATTAGTATGTTGTTCTTATATCCAGCAAACTTGCTAGGCCCTTATTGGTCCTTTTTTTTTTAAGATTTTATTTATTTATTCATAAGAGACAGAGACAGAGACACAGGCAGAGGGAGAAGCAGGCTCCATGCAGGGAGCCCAACGTGGGACTCGATCCCGGGTCCCCAGGATCAGGCCCCGAGCCAAAGGTGGCAACAAACCGCTGAGCCACCCGGGCTGCCCACCCTTATTGGTTCTAATAATTTGTATATTTATTTTGTGTGGCTCTATAAATAATGATAGTATTGTTTTTTTCTTTCCAACTTTATATCTCTATTTTTTCCTCTTTTCAAATACTATGTTGAGCATTGTTAGCAATGTAATGGACATCCTTTCTAATTACTGAGCTCTCCAACAGGTATATCATTATTTTCCAGATAAAAACCTAGATTCAACTGCAATATGATGACACTCCCGGGGTCCATGGAGGGGAGGTGAAAGTGGTGCCCCCTAATCCCAAGGAGCCAGCATCGTGCCACACAGATAGCTCTAATATACACTTGATATACTCTTAGCCCACCATGTAGGCATTCATGCAGTTAAGCTGAGCTCCTACACCCATGTGTCAGGCAGTGAACAAGACATACCTGGAGATAGACATTAAGCAAAGTAATTATGATAAAAATGTTTATTATGTGAGTGTTTAGGACAGGTAGTCAGAGAAGGCCTGCTTTAGAAAGCTATTTAAACAGAAAAATAAAAAATAAACAAATAAACAGAAACATGACAGGGGCACTTGGATGACTCAGTCAGCTGAGCAGCTAACTTGTGATTTTGGCTCAGATCATGATCTCCTGGGTCAAGGGATCAAGCCCCACATCGGGTTCCAGACTCAGCAGGGAGTCTGCTTGAGATCTTCTCTCTCCCTCTCCCCTTCCCCCCACTCGCTCTCACTCTCTCTCTCTCAAATAAATATATCTTAAAAAAAAAAAAAAACAACGGAAACAAACTGGGTGACTAGCAGCTAACTAGGGCAGCGGGAAGAGGGAAGAGTGTTTCTTTCTGGCAAAGACAACAGCTTGTGGAAAGGCCTAGGATCTAGAGTGTGGTCTGTTGGAGATGTGGAGAGCCTGGGAGGAATGACAACACTGATGAGGAGCCTGGGCCTTCAAAACTATCTCAAGGAACTTCAGTGTGGCCCAAACATCATGGAAAGGCATCAAAAGTTTGTAAGCAGAAGAATGACGAGATTGGATTAATATTTTAGGAAGCTGCTCCAACTGCAATAGGATTGAGTTAGAGAAACAGATAAACAGACCATATGGGTTGTGGCTGGACTTGGGGATTGACTGCGTGTGGCTAGACCAGGAAGAGAAGAGTCAACACTTCCATGTGTTTGGCCTGAACGACTGGTTAGGTTGTAGTGCCACTTGCTGAGACCAGGGATACAGGGGGAAGAGCTGGAAAATGGAGCTTAGTTTAAGAAATGTTGAGCTCAAAGGGCCAGTGTGTTGTTCAAGTAAAGACCTCCCATAGGCAGCTCTTTTGTTTTTTAAGTTTTTTTTTTTTTTTTTTTTTTTTTTTTTGAGAAAGAAAGCACACAAGAGAGGAGGAGAGGCAGAGGGAGAGGGAGAAGCAGGCTCAGCAGGGAGCCTGACCTGGGGCTCTATCCCAGGACCCCAGGATCATGACCTGAGCCAAAGGCAGGCAGATATATATATTTATGACACAGACACCGGCAGAGGGAGAAGCAGGCTCCATGTAGGGAGCAAAGGCAGACATTTAACTGACTGAGCATGCACCCTCCCCTAGGCAGGTCTATTTATGGGCAAGCAGAGAAGCCTGAGTTAGAGATAAAGATTTGGAAGCTCTGAGTTGATAGATGGTGGCTGAAGTCACAGACGTTCATGAGATGGCTCAGGAGACAGTGTACGTGGAGAGAGGAGAATGAGGAGGTCAGAGAGGTCACGTGTGATGTCCTATAGCCCTTGGGGCAGGGGACACAGCCAGATCCCAGAGACACTTCAAGGCCCAGGACCTTGGGGCCACAGTGGAAATCCTAGAACACTTGACTCATTTTTGTCTTTCTTTTTGTCAGTTGCCAGATACAGACTCCGAATAGTTGAGCCACCAAAAGTGCCTGTGGAAGAAGCACCCAGCCCTGATGATGATGGTATGTAGAGGGTAGTGGGTCCCCTGGCCTGGCTGTGCGGCCCCAGGCCAGTGAGCTCTGGTGCACAATCTCCTTTTTCTCCACACAGGCCCAGCTCTTGAGCCCAACCTGTGGATGTGGGTAAACCCCAATATTGTGTTTCCCCCTGGAAAGCTGGAGGTCCCAGAATCTCCCAAGTGGGAGGATCTGCCAAGCACGCTTCCCTCTGCTCAGCCACCCCCGAAAGAGGAAGACTTCACCAACAGCTCTGAGACCACAGCAGTGGAGTCGCTGCCTTCCTCCAGCGAGCAGTCTCCTCCTCGGAAGCGGAAGCGGAAGCGGGTGGCTTCTTCCCCCAGCACCTGGGAGGTAGGGATTTCTGGGCCCGTGGGCTGGACTTGGGCTGGGCTTGGGCAGGCATAGGGATGATGCAGCAGAGAGGTCTGCTTGCTTAGGGATAACTGAGAGTTAATGGGTTCAGAAGTTAGCCGCACCCTTGGGTTGGGGAGAAGCCCGGATGGTGGCCCTAGAGCACTCCCCCTCCCTGCCACTGCACCCCCGGAGTAGAGGCTGTGGAGTTAGGACCAGTTCCTACTCTGTGCTCCTCTAGCTCACAGAAGAGGAGGAGGCTGAGGACCAGGATGACAGCTCCTCTGTGGCCCTCCCGTCCCCTTACAAAAGGGCCCCCCTCCAGAGTCGGAGGCTCCGGCAAGCCAACAGCCAGGAGGGGAGGCTCTGGTCCCGGCCCCCTCTCAATTACTTCCACCTAATTGCACTGGCATTAAGAAACAGTTCCCCCTGTGGCCTCAACGTGCAACAGATCTACAGTTTCACTCGGTATGTGCCACCGGGGGCCCTGTGAGGAGGGGAAGGGAGGGTCAGGGCCCTTGGTCAGCTACTTTCCAATCTGCCGGTGGCCCTGGACTGCTGCCTTGGTTTGCCATGTGAGTCTGAAAGGAGAAGTGTGTTCCCAGGCCTTCCTTCCCAGGCACTGCTTCTGGGTTGTCCCCAAACATGTGTCCACATATCCCATGTACAGGAAGATATCCATGTCCACCCCGTTCACATCTAAAAAAAACTCCAACCATTTTATTATTTTTTTAAAAATATTGTATTTATTTCTTTGAGAGAGAAAGAGAGCAGAGGGAAAGGGAGAGGCAGACTCCTCACTATTGTGGCTTGATCCCAAGACCCCAGGGTCATAACATGATGCTTAACTGAGCCACCCATTTTATACCTTAGTTCTTCAAAACATAAATTCATCTAGGTCAGAAATTCTCCCATCCTCCCTGTCAAGATTATCCAGTAGAAAGTCTGGTTTCCCCAACAGTTTCTCACATGCTTTCCCTTCGGGCTGGACTGACACAGCTCCCTGCATCCCCAGGGGCACCCAATCGAGAAGGGAGTCACATTTAGCTTTTTATTTTTTAGATTTTATTTATTTATTTGAGAGAAAGAGCACATGACCAGGGGGAGGGAAGAGGGAGAGGGAGAAACAGACTCTGCACTGAGCAGGGAGCCCAACGTGGGGTTCAGTCCCAGGACCCTGAGGTCATGACCTGAGCCGAAGGCAGAAGGCAGACACTTAACGGACTAAGCCACCCAGGCACCCTCATTCATTCATTTATACAAATAAATAAATAAAAATTTTATTTATTTATTCATGAGACACAGAGAGAAGGCAGAGACACAGGCAGAGGGAGCAGCAGGCTCCATGCTGGGAGCCCGACGTGGGACTCGATCCTGGGTCTCCAGGATCCTGTCCTGGGCCGAAGGCGGTGCTAAACTGCTGAGCCCCCCGGGGAGCCCCCCACGGGATCCCCTGGAACCGTGCCTTTCCTGACTGTTCCTCCCTGTCCACAGACAACATTTCCCCTTTTTCCGGACGGCCCCGGAAGGCTGGAAGAATACCGTCCGCCACAACCTCTGCTTCCGAGACAGCTTTGAGAAGGTGCCAGTCAGCATGCAGAGTGGGGTGAGCCCGCGGCCCCGCTCCTGCCTCTGGAAGCTGACTAAGGAGGGACACCGCCGCTTTACCGAGGAGGCCCGTGCCCTGGCCTCCACCCGCCTGCAAAGTATCCAGCAGTGCATGAGCCAACCGGGTGAGCAGCCCTGTCACCGGAGGGGCCAGGGGAGGGGACCTGACCATCCTCATCTGAGGCTAAGTGTGCAGGGAAGGAGCCTGGGGCCCACCGTGGGGCGGGGGGGCAGCCCGGGGCACCGTCTGTAGGGAGGGAAGAGGATGGCAGTGGTGCCTGCCCCAGGTAGGACCCCACCCACACTGGCATGTACTTGAGGTCCAGGGGCCCGATGGAGAAACAACTGAGGTACACTTGACCCACAGCCCGCAGCCTAGGGAACTGGTGGCCACACTGCGAGAGAAGCGATATGGGTGGTGATGTGCAAAAGGGGGCTTTTTCTCTTTCTGGAGACCTGGTGCCATGGGGGCCTGGAGGGAGAAGAAGGTAGATCATCCGCTGTGAGATCCGGGCTGAGGGAAGAGCAGCTGCGAAGGGCAGATAGGTTCTGCTGACTTTTTTTTTTTTCTTACAGATGTGATGCCCTTCCTCTTCGACCTTTAATTCAAGAAGCAGGAGTCAGCTCATCCCTTATTAAAGTTACCTGCAGCAGCCTGGTGTGTGTGTGTGGTCTCTGAGGATGGGGACAGGGTGAAGGTGGAGGGCAGCTCTGAGGCTGGCAGTGAACACCGCCAGTGCTGATAGATGCTCCAGAGGCAGTTGCCTGGTGTGCTGCAAAGGGAGCATGAACTCTTCATTCCTCCAAGGAAGAAAATCCTCAACCCCCTTCAGGACCAATCCCCATTATTCTGGATGATGAGGATAGTCTTGGGAGGTGCTAGCTTGAAGCAGCCTGCCATCCACAGGAGGGGATGTAATCACCTGGGAGCAGTGGGAAGAAGCCTAAGGAACACATCACTTGGGCAGTGGAGGGGGGGCCCTCCTAGGAGGCCAAGAAGGAGCAGTGAGAAGGGTGAGAGGAAAGAATTTTTTTGGAAAAGGGGATGGTTGGGTTTGAGCCTCATTCCCCTCCATTTAACCATTTTGAACAAGGGGTGGGAAGTTGGAGCCAAGCTGCGGGCACCTTGCCTTGCTGTTCATCTCCATCATGCCCTGGGTAGAAGCCAGAGCACTGGCAGATCAAGAGTCCTTAGTGGGCAGCCGCAGCTTTCCTGGTGGCAGGAGCCAGTGTCCAGGTTGCCAGCCTTTGGTCCAAGGGAGCATGGAGAAGCCCCAGACTGAGTGAAAAAGGAATGAGGTTTAAAGCTGCATCCGGATGCCCCAGACATTCAGACCATGCTTGAAGACAATACTGAATTTCCCACAGGCCTGCGATGACCTTTCTCATTCCCTCTCCTGCTCTCCCCTCATCCCCTAGCAGGCCCGCAGGGAAACAGCTCCACTCTCAGAACCCAGGGCTGCAGATCTCAGTGCTGGAGGCATTTTGACCTTGAAGAATTGACCCTCTTTTTTTTTTTTTTTTTTTTAAGAATTGACCCTCATGGGATCCCTGGGTGGCGCAGCGGTTTGGCGCCTGCCTTTGGCCCAGGGCGCGATCCTGGAGACCCAGGATCGAATCCCACGTCAGGCTCCCGGTGCATGGAGCCTGCTTCTCCCTCTGCCTGTGTCTCTGCCTCTCTCTCTCTCTCTCTCTCTCTCTCTCTGTGTGTGTGTGTGACTATCATAAATAAATAAAAATTTAAAAAAAAAAAAAGAATTGACCCTCATAACTTGGGTCATCGACCAGGAGTTCAGCTAAGAACCTAACTTGGTATCACACCTAAGCAGAGAGTATTTGTTGCATTATTTTAAGATTTCCCGAACTTTTCAGGAATGCAGCTAATGTGTAAAATGAAGGATGATTGTGTTTTTTATTTTTTTATTTTTTTTTGGTCTGGAAGTTTACCAAGAAGTGTTTGCCACTTCAGAAAACCACTTCACTGACGGCAAAGGTGCTCTGATATCTAAGTCACCAATGGCACCTACCTGTATGAGTCTATGTTTGTGTCTGCTGCACTTGCAGGGATTCTATGCGTTTAAACATATTTAGTCATTATATCAAGGCAGCCAATATAAAGAGTATTTTCTTTTTTTTAATTTTTATTTATTTATGATAGAGAGAGGCAGAGACATAGGCAGAGGGAGAAGCAGGCTCCATGCACCGGGAGCCCGACGTGGGATTCGATCCCAGGTCTCCAGGATCGCGCCCTGGGCCAAAGGCAGGCGCTAAACCGCTGCGCCACCCAGGGATCCCAAGAGTATTTTCAATAGTCATTTGAATTTTGTCTCTTTTTTTTATTTTTTAATTTATTTATGATAGTCAGAGAGAGAGAGAGAGAGAGAGAGAGAGAGAGAGAGGGAGAGAGAGAGGCAAAGACATAGGCAGAGGGAGAAGCAGGCTCCATGTACCGGGAGCCCGACGTGGGATTCGATCCTGGGTCTCCAGGATTGCGCCCTGGGCCAAAGGCAGGCGCTAAACCGCTGCGCCACCCAGGGATCCCCTGAATTTCATCTCTTAAATATAAGCTCATCACTGTACGTATGTGCAAATTTCCAACTATCTTGTATTTTCAAGTATAGTTTTATCCATTGAAATACACTTCATAAATTTCTATTTTTCTGTTATATTGCAGTGTAAACATGTCAACCATTTTTAAAATTACATGTGTTCTGGTAAGTTATTTTTTTATCAGTAAGATTCATTTCAAGATGGTAAAGACAGTCTTTTTTTAAAAAAAATATTTATGAGAGACAGAATGAGAGAGAGAGGCAGAGACACAGACAGAGGGAGAAGTAGGCTCCATGCAGGGAGCCCAATACGGGACTCGATCCCGGGACTCTAGGATTACGCCCTGGGCCAAAGGCAGGAGCCAAACCACTGAGCCACCCAGGGATCCCAGACAGTCTTTTTCTTTTTTTTAAAAAATATTTTATTTAAAAAATAAAATAAAAATAAAAAAATAAAATATTTTATTTATTTATTCATGAGAGACACACAGAGAGAGGCAGAGACACAGGCAGAGGCAGAAGCAGGCTCCATGCAGGAAGCCCAATGTGGGACTTGATCCCAGGACCCTGGGATAATGCCCTGAATCAAAGGCAGATGCTCAACCGCTAAGCCACCCAGGCGTCCCCAGTCTTTTTCTTTTAAAGATTTACATATTTATTTGAGAGAAAGAGAGGGAGAGTGTGGAGGGGAAAGGGGCAGAGGGAGGGATAGAGAGAATCTCAAGCAGACTCCATGCTGAATGCAGAGCCTGTCTTGGGGCTGGATCCCATGACCTGAGCTGAAACCTAGTCAGACACTCAACCCACTGCACCAGCCAGGCACCCCAAGATGGTAAAGATGGTCTTATAAAATATTTGCTCTATTCCTAGGGTGTTAAGGCCAGTGGGTAGAGAACCACTGAACCAAGCAACATAAAATACAGTCCCTGCCCAGAGGTGCTCACCCACAGTGATGTTGGCAACCAGTGAAGACAATCCATGCTTAAGTCTACCCCCACAAAGCCTAGCATAGGGCCTGTTGGGTAGTAAGAATGCACTATTTGCTATGATTTGTCACTAGTAACTTCTCTAAGAAGCAGATTTCCATATTCTCTGGAAGTGCAGAGAAGAGATCAGCTCTGTCTGGAGAAGCTAGGGAAGGCTTCTCACAGGTGAATTTAGCACTGGGTCTTTTTCCTAGGCCTAGGAAACAACAGCAGTGCCCAAACAACGGAAGTGCCCAAAGCCAGCCATGTTCTGTTGGGTGCTGTTGATGCTCCTAGGAGGCAGAGGTGGAGGCTGGGGAGGTGTGAAAGAGCAGCGATAGGATAGGAAGGAAAAAGTGACTGGTTTCAAGACAGACATGCACAGGTGCCCAATTGGAGCAAGCCAAGAACTGCCTTTCTCTAATCCACTTGCAGGTGTGTTGTGACCTGGATGCTAATCTCTATGTGCTATCCACTAGTGGAGTGGGGAGAAAGACCAGGTCATTCATGTCCTTTCCTCTGGGCCCACACAGCACTGTGCAACCAGACACCACCACCACCCTCTGCCCCCATACCCCTCAAGTCTAGTTAGCTCCCAGGAAGGGCAGGGTCCCAAGTCCTCAGCTCTAGTTTCATCTGATCTGGCCTCAGTTTGTCCACCTCATCTGCACATCTTTATTCCTGCCTACATTCTTGTCCATGTCTGCTCTGAGTTGCAAGTGGACCCAAAGGCAACAGGTTGGAAGTAAAGAAAAGGACAATACAGCCTTTATGGGAAAAATGGCCCCGAGGAAAGTTGCTTTTGTCATTTTTGCTGTCTCATAGCATATTCTACTCCTACCCTCAGCTCCTTTTTTTCACTTATTCAACCATTATTTGAGTTTTCAAAAGGCCAGGCCCTGTGCCAGGGGCTGAAGATATAGTGAAACCCAAAATGGTTTCTCTGAGTTTTCAGTCTAGATGGAAAGATATTAAACAATTAACGTGCAATGATAAGAAATATTACTAAAGAGTAAAGGTGAGTGTAGGAAGAAATGATAGGGGTACTTAGACTTAAGAGATCAGGACAGCCTGGGTGGCTCAGTAGTCGAGCACTGCCCTCAGCCCAGGGCCTGATCCTGGAGTCCCTGGATCGAGTCCCATGTTGGGCTCCCTGCATGAAGCCTGCTTCTCCCTCTGCCTGTGTCTCTACCTCTCTCTCTCTCTCTCTCTCTCACTCTCTCTCTCTCATAAATAAATAAAGTCTTTTTTTTTTTTTTTAAAAAAAAAAGGGGGATCCCTGGGTGGCGCAGTGGTTTGGCGCCTGCCTTTGGCCCAGGGCACGATCCTGGAGACCGGGGATCGAATCCCACGTCGGGCTCCCGATGCATGGAGCCTGCTTCTCCCTCTGCCTGTGTCTCTGCCTCTCTGTCTCTGTGACTATCATAAATTAAAATAAAAATAAAAATAAAAATAAAAAAAAAGATTAAAAAAAAAAGGTATTTTAGCTGAGACTTGGATAAGGAGTAACCAGGCCTCAGAATGGGGGAGGGAAAGTGTTTTGTAGAGGGAACACAATGGACAAAGCCTGGGAGGTAGGGACCTCCTCACCTGGGCCTATTGAGAGAATGGGGATAAGGCCATGGAGGACAGAATATATTAAGCTAAGGGAGAAAGAGAGAAGCAGGGATTAGGCCATGTGGGTCTTTCTAGGTTATGATAAGGGATTTAGATTTTTTTTCAAGTATGGTAGAAAGTAACAGAACCTCACTTTATTTCTAAGTTTTATTTATTTACATAATCTCTACACCCAATGTGGGGCTCAAACTCGCGATCCTGAGATCAAGAGTCTCATGCTTCAGACTGAGCCAGCCAGGTGCCCCTTATTTTTTAAATTATGCTTAGCTACTCATTGGAGTGGCTGCTAGGCAGGCACACATGAAGGCAACAGGACTTGTTAGGAAGTAATACAGTGGTCCAGGTGGGCCAAGGCAGCGGCCAGAGAACTGCAGAGAAACAGGCTGTTCTGAGATGTAGCTTGGAGGTAGAATTGATAAGTCAATAGGATTGATTGAGTGCAGGAGGAAGTGAGGCTGAGTTTTTTGGTTTGAGTAATTGGGGAGAATGGGGAGGTACAGAAGCCCATATCAGCAGCAGGTTTGAGCAGTTGTTTTTTTTTTTTTTTTAAGATTTTATTTATTCATGAGACACACAGAGAGGCAGAGACACAGAGAGAGAAGCAACTCCATGCAGGGAGCCTGATGTGGGACTCAATCCCAGGACTCCGGGATCACGCCCTGAGCCTAAGGCAGATGCTCAACCACTGAGCCACCCAGGCGTCCCAGTTTGAGCAGTTCCCATTACAATCTGTGAGACATCAGGGTAGTTACATCACGTAGGTAACTGTTCTAAGTCTGGGGTTCGGAAGATAAATCTGAGCTGAAGATGTAAATACATCTGAGAGTCATCAGGATATGATTGGTATTTAATATTATGCTCTATGTGCTAACAGATATCCACAACACATTCTGGGGAGAAAAAAATCTCTGGCAAAACAGTATGTTGGATATGACTAAAAATGTGACGGAAATTATGTTCATATATATAAATATGATGTCGAAGCACAGATAATCTTTTAGGGTTTATTTTTGAAGGATTAAAAAAATATTTTAAGTACAATCTACCTTCCAACATGGAGCTCGAATTCCCGACCCCAAGATCAAGTGTCACATGTTCTAGGGTGTCTGGGTGGCACAGTCGGTCAAGTGTCCAACTCTTGGTTTTGGCTCAAGTCGTGATCTCAGGGTCTTGGAGCCCTATATAGAGCTCCATGCTCAGCGAGGAGTCGGCTTAAGACTTTCTCTGCCCCTCCCCACTCCCTTCTCTCTCTCAAATCTTTTTTTTTTTTTTTCTGGAAAGTACTCATTTTAATTCCATTCATTAACATATAATGTATATTTGGTTTCAGAGGTAGAGGGCAGTGCTTCATCAGTCTTATATAACACCCAGTGCTCATTATATCACGTGCCCTCCTTAATGCCCATCACTCAGTTATCCATCTTTAAAAGAAGTCACATGGTCTACTGACTGAGCCAGCCAGCTGCCCATAAGCATAGAAAATGACTTGAAGAGGGGCACCTGGGTGGCTCAGTGGTTGAGCATCTGCCTTCAGCTCAGGTCATGATCCCGGGGTCCTGAGATGGGAGTCCCACATTGGGTTCCCTCCAGGGAGCCTGCTTCTCCCTCTGCCTATGTGTCTGCCTCTCTCTGTGTATCTCTCATGAATAAATAAATAAAATCTTATTAAAAAATTTAAAAAGAGGGACACCTGGGTGGCTCAGTGGTTGAGCACCTGCCTTTAGCTCAGGGCATGATCCTGGAGTCCTGGGATCAACTCCCACATCAAGCTACCTGCATGGAGCCTGTTTCTCCTTCTGCCTATGCCTCTGCCTCTTTCTCTGTGTGTCTCTCATGAATAAATAAAATCTTAAAAAAATAAAATAAAAATAAATAAAAAGTAAAAAAAGAAAATGACTTGAAGAAAAGAGGTATCAAATAGCAATAGGCATCTGTGAGGGCTGAAGGGTATCAAGGGATTTGAGGGACAGCCACTTTTTATTTATAGCCCTGTCAATTCTACAGGGCTATAATTTTTACAATTTTAATTTTTACAATTTTAAGATAAGTACATTTACCCACTAGCCTGTTTTGCACTTTGATGCTATTGACTAACAGGCTGTTAGCTGCATATTCCCAGGTTCCTCCTCTGGACAAACTCCCACCCCCAAGGTTACCCCAGGGAGTGTGTGATGGTTTTAACTTACTCTGACAAACCTGTTAAAGACCACTTTATACTAGTTCTAAGGGGTTAACCATGAACAGACACAGTCCCTGCACTTAAGGCGCTTTTCAATTATTGGGTTTTCTTTCTTTTTTTGATTGTATTTATTTATTTGAGAGAGAGAGCATGAGGAGGGGGAAAGGCAGAGGGAGAGGGAGGGAGAGAATCTTAAGCAGACTCCATGCCCAGCGTGGGGCCTGATGCAGACCTTGATCTTACGACCTGAAATCATGACCTGGATCGAAAGCAAGAGTCAGACGCTTAACCAACTGAGCCACCCAGGCACCCCTTCAATTATTGGATTTTTGACTATTAAACAAAAATGACAACAGGACAAGCAAAGGACTTGAAATCAAGAAATTAATTCTGCAGAGGCAACTCTAGAAGGCTTCACAAAAGGGGTGACATTTCATTTATTCAATAATGAATTGATATGAGAGACTGTGAATAGACTAAGAATTTACCATGTGCCAGACAAAGACACCAGCCTTGTGGAAATCCCACTCTCATTCATATTTCAGGTCCTATATAATAGAATTTATTAGGCAGGGCTGGAAAGAAGTAAATTTTAGGCAGAGGGAGCCAAGGGGTGGAAGATGCTAAAGTACACAGGACCACCAGGCTCCAAGACTATTGCTTGGAGGAGGAGGTCCACAAGGTCAGCTAAGTGATGAGAGATAAGACAAAAGGAATTTGGGAAACATACTATAATAAGGCTTTGAAAGTCATGCTGGGAAATTAAAATTTTTTTCCTGATGCTAATTTAGAGGCGTTAAATCAATCCAGAAAGTCACTTAGAGGCTTTCTTGAAACCAGAGTCTGGAGGATAAATGGAGTTGAAACAGACCACACACTTGGAAACCAGTTATAAAGATTTTACATGAATCTAAGCAAAAGAGCAAGGGAATTGAAACAAGGTTTTCTCTAGGAGTATAAAAAATGTTAGAACAGACGTTAAACATCTCAGAAATCCAATGAGACAACTTGAACAGGGTAGATTTAGGGACTGAATAAAAGCAGATGTCAAAGATAACTCTCCCCCAAATTCCAGATTTTAGCTTGGTGGGATTTACTGGAAGGATGAAAATAGGGGATGTTCTCAAGTGGAAGATGTTGAGTTCCATTCACACAAGTCAAGTTCAGTTGCAACTAAATGAACCCCCCGTGGTGGAGAACTTAAGGTAAACAGTTTCAAAAGCAAAATTGCAGAGGGCTGAGGAGTTAGTAGAAGTTGAAGCAGTGTAGACTACTCTAAGCAGCTTTGGAACAAATGAAAGAAATAGATGGCTGGGTTGATCTGCTTTTGGAGCTTGACAAAATAAGAGATCTGGGAAGGTCAAGTGAAGTAATAGGTTCCCTTGAGAGTATGGTGGAAACAGTCCTGGAATCCAGTGGGTGAAGTGAAGCCAAGAGGACCTAAGACCTAGACCACTGATTTTCAAACTTGATTGAGCAGAATTATTGAAGGGTCCATTAAACTACGGATTGCTGGGCCCCACTCTAGAGTTTCTGATTCATTAGGTCTGTGGTGGGGCCCAAGAATTTGCATTTCTAACAAGCTTCCAGCTGCCCACCTGGAGGCCACTCTTTGAGAACCTAGAGCAAAGCAGCTGAGGGATGCAGAATAGTTTTCTGAGTGCTTAAGAATAGTCATTTTCAAGAATGGAGTCTTCTTGCACTTAAAGGCAAGATGGAAGATGGTGGTCAGAATACAACGTCAGAGTTTGAATTCAGAGAATGACAATTTGGGGCAGACAAGATCCAGGACTGACCCGGCCAGGGAAATGATGGGAGGTCCAGGAGTTGAGTGTTGCTGGGGTCTTCAAAATGAATCACATCCGACAGGGGCCTGAGTCTAACGGGAAGCTCCAAGAGGAAGTTAAGATCTGAAGGGGAGTCTGGCTACTTTCTGGGGTTGAATTATGTATAGTTGACTGTGTATACACCCATAGGTATAGTAGCCCATCCAGGTTACTGCACCAGTGCTGGTAACAAATCTAAGTGGAATTCGGGACTCTGTCCTAGTTCTGTTGGGCATAACTTACAAATAAGGTCTGGCTGGACCCCAGGCTTTTTTGGGGGTGCTCTAGGGTAGAGATCATAGCCTGGGGATTTCAGCCGTGTAAGGGAGCAATTTACTTTAGGCACTAAGGTAAACTCATTTGGGTAAGGAGCTGTTCATTCTGGGAAAAGCAGCTTGCAAAGAATAAAAATTCCACGAGCATGTTTACAGAATAAAAATGTCTGTTAACCCTCAGCAGTGATTCTGCACCGTTTATATATAAGCTTCCCCTTTACAGCTCTGCAGTAACGACTGCTCAGAACACCACCGCCCCCCCCAGCCCAGGGGAGGATACGGATGTGATTAGGTCTTAGATCAGGGCCGCCTCCACCATGCGTTCCTTAGGCGGGCTGGTACTGAGGCCCACTGGGGGCGCTGCCTCGGATGCTTAACTCCCGCGCAACCTTCCACACAGTTACTTCCTCTCCACGCCTCAGTGTTCCCATCTGTAAAATGCCTGTAAGAATAGAACGGCACGTAGCGCTGTTGTGAGGATTGAAGTAGTTAATGGGAAGCTGGGGGGACACACAGGGAGCACCCTATAGTACTAGTTACCTATCAGTGGGAGCCCGGGAAGGGACTCGCGCAGCCGCAGAAGGGGCTGCAGTGGCGCCGGCCCGCCGCTGGGGGCCGCGGGGACCGCTGGGTACGCCCCGCCCCCGAGGGGGTCAGGGGTCACCGGGTGGAGGGAGCCCAGCTGCGCGTCGCGGGTACAGCGACTCCTGGGCCCATGGCGCCGGCGCAGCGATGTCCGCTGTGCCGCCAGACCTTCTTCTGTGGTCGCGGACACGTCTACAGTCGCAAGCACCAGCGGCAGCTGAAGGCGGCTTTGGAGCGGCTCCTGCCCCAGGTGCGGACGGGAGGCGGGAGGGGGCCGCGGACCGCCTGGGGTGGGGGATGCGGGCGGTGCAGGGAGGGCGCGAGGGGGGAGGCGTGGGGGCTCCACCGGGGCCCTGCTGGGCCTCTCTCCGCCGCAGGTGGAGGCCGCCCGCAAGGCCATCCGCGCCGCTCAGGTGGAGCGTTACGTGCCGGAGCACGAGCGGCGCTGCTGGTGCCTGTGCTGCGGCTGCGAGGTGCGGAAACACCTGAGCCACGGAAACCTGACCGTGCTGCACGGGGGGCTGCTGGAGCATCTGGCCAGGTGAGATCCGGCCGGGGAGCCTCATCCATCCAGCACATTCGCATAGTGTCTGGTGTCGGGGGAGAGGGGGGTTAGGGGTGGATGAGAGGAAGAACGCTTTTGTAGTTCGGGTGGATCGAGTCACCTTATTGGCGTTGCATCCTTGAGCGGTGGAGGGTTTATGGCTGCCATGGTCCCAGTGGAAATGGTGGGGAAGCCAGATGGGCAGCTGGTTCAGGGTTACCTCCCATCATCTCCTTTCAGATTCTCACATTTTTACTGGAAGAGGGAGACTGGACATCTGGAAGAGACTAGTAACATTGTTCTATCAGCCTAGCCCAGAGGCAGAAACCAAGATGTCAGTGTGCACTACTTACCTAATGCCTAGGTATCAGTAACGTTCTGTAGTCTGTCATTGAGATTATCCGTTCATTTGCAGCCCAGAGCACAAGAAAGCAACCAACAGATTCTGGTGGGAGAACAAGGCAGAGTTCCAATTGAAAGAGAAGTTTCTGATCTCCCCCCAGGACTATGCACGGTAAATCACTGATTATGAAAGATGAGATAACAGAATGGGGCTTCTCTGGGTCTTTGTCAGGTGCTGGAGCTTTCTCTATTAATTGGAAATTTCAGTAGGGGCTTTGTAAGTATCTGTTGTCTTCATAGCACTCATTCCTAGGCATGATACTGGACACAAAAGAAGCATGACAGAGTCTTTGAAAGGTTTATATCTAGTTGGGGATAGGATTTATGATACAATTAGCAAATAGATAACAGTATATAATAAAAGTATTTTTTTGAAAGAGAGAGCACACAGAGGAGAGGGAGAAGCAGACTCCCCGCTGAGAAGAGAGAGACACACCCACCACCACCACCACCGTGGGGCTGTCTCAGGACTCTGAGATCATGACCTGAGCTGAAGGCAGACACTTAACCGACTGAGCCACCCACCCAGATGTCCCTAAAGTAAACTATTATTTAAATGTGTGGTACACAGAATTGTTAAGGTCCTTTAGCTTTTATAGTGTATAAGCAACTGGTACCCACCCTGTGCTCACTTGAATAATCTTAGACTCTGTTTTAACTGGCCTCTAGAGGACCCTGAGAAACTGGAGTGCAATAAGCTGGTCAGCACAGAGTGGGTATGAGTGCTGACTGCTTCAGGAAAAGGACAAAGCCTCATACTACCTTTTTTTTTTTTTTTAAGATTTTATTTATTCATGAGAGGGAGAAGCAGGCTCCCTATGGGGAGTCCGATGCATGACTCAATTACAGGACTGCAGGATCATGCCCTGAGCCAAAGGCAGATGCTTAACTACTGAGCTACCCAGACATCCCAGCCTCATTCTACTTTTATTGGGACAATACTGAGATTATAAGGAATTGAACCCAAGGGGATCTTGGAACCAAAGTTACAGAAAAACTCATGACATCTATTATTGTTTCCTACTCAGTGTGGAGAATAATGAGGGAATGGGGAGAAATACCTAAAACCTACCACCTTGCCTCCAAATTTGCGGTTCAGACTGGGCAGGAGATGGGGAATTGAGGCCACTCTGACCCAGCTCCAAATGGTGTTTGGTGGGAATAAAGGATAGTTGAGCAGAAAAAGTTGTAATTGAGAATTATGAGGATGGACTCTTTAAACTTATTAGTTTTGATTTTTGAACATTATACATTTCAAGCTCACATGCACAAGGCAAAGCCAAGCCTGACTGATTTACCAGTTGGTAAAGATAACATAAGCCATCCTTAGATCCAGACAGGTTATCGTTTTTACATAGAGTAAAGAAGCCCAAAGTGCCAGCTTTCCAGGTCCTTGTCCCACCCACCAAAGAGGACCACTCTGAAACAAAAATGGCTAGCTAATTGTCATGTGAGCTGTAGGACACTCTGCTGCTAGGGAGCCCAGTGTGGCTTGCAGCTCTAATCTGAGAGAGGTGGGGAGAAATCTGCAAGTGGGAGAGGGCCTCAAAGCAGCTCCTTTCAGGACTCCCATCCTCTGTGTTCCATGAGCATCACACAGGTTTTCAGCCAAGACTCTGATGCTGTGTTCTAGGCTTTGCCCGAATGGATAGGTGCAAGGCTGCCAGGGTAGTGGTAGAGCCATTCCCCCACAGAGGTGTTTTACATATTGAAATCAGGCCAGAAAGCAAATCCTAAAATTGATTCCAAACAAGAACAAATTGTCATAGCTATATATCAAATTGAAAACAATCACAAAAGAATAAAAATTCAAGTAACTTGAACACAAAATTCTGACTGTATATCCTTATATTTTCCAAGGACTAAAGAGCTGCAAAGAAGTCCTGAGCTTTGCTTAGTAGTTTTGTTGGTAGTGGTATTGCTTGTATTGGTATTTTTCTGGTACCTTTCTGTGTGTATTGCAAGATAAAACAACTGTAGTTATATTGGTGTTGTCCCATATACGGGACAAGTTAGACATCAAAAGAGATGAATTGATTATAAGTGTGGTAACGTTTCATAGGCTCTTCCTGTTCTTAGGTGCATGTCGAAGTATTCAGAGTTAAGTTTCATGATGTTCTAAAGCTCATTTTTGATTTGGCAAAAGGGAAATGTATATATAGAAGAGAAGCAGAGCCAGTAATGCAAAATGTTGACAGTGAATCTGGGTAAAAGGTACAAGGGTGTTCACTGTTCTATTTTGTTTCTGTAATTTTGAAATTGTCTAAAATTTGAAGGAAAAGAAATGATCTACAGAGGATCTTTTTATAACTGGTGTTCTTGGCTGACTAGTCCTTTTCCTTTTTCTTATTTATCTTAAAGATTGTGTACAGTTGAGAGAGGGAGAGAGCGAGAGAGCACAAGCAGGGGGAACAGCAGAGGGAGAAGTAAGCAGGCTCCCCACTGAACAGGGTGCCCAACATGAGGCTCAATCCCAGGACCCGGGGATCATGACCTGAACCGAAGGCAGATACTTAACTGACTGAACCACCTAGGCACCCCTCCCCACCTTTTTCTTTTTAGATTCAAGAAATCCATGGTGAAAGGTTTGGATACCTATGAGGAAAAAGAGGATGAGGTGATCAAAGAGGTAAGTTAAAGAAAGGTCTCTGAAGGACCCAGCCCCATGACCCTGTACCTAGCTAAACAGCCTCTCCCCCGCAGATGGCAGCTCAGATTCGAGAGGTGGAACACAGCCGGCAGGAGCTGGTTCAGTCTGTCTTAGAGGTTGGTGTCCCTCGGAGCCGCCAGAGCAGTATCCAAATACATTTGATCCCTGGTTTTCCCAGGTCCAGCATTTCACCTACCAGGTCTTCTACAACTCTTGGACTCCATGCTTCATCTGCTCCGCTTGAATTCCCTTACCTGTCCGCCAGGGGGCAGGCCTTGTCAGTGGAGATGTGGGCAGAGTTAGGAGGGAGGGAAGTTTGCAAGATGGGCAGTACCCTCCATATGCCAGTTTGTTTCCTACTGGAGGGTGGGAGCAAGGCCTAGACTGACACTTAAGGATCCGAGACACATTTATTTTTCCTGAATCAAACTCAGCCTCAGGCAGTGCCAGACCCAGAAGAAGGCTCTTCAGCACTGGGAAGCTGGAAAGGGACCAACAGGTAAAATTGCTAAGGAATCTTGTTGGGAGTGTGACCTCTGTTAGAACATTCTGTAACTTTTTGGCTGGAAGATGGGGAATCTGGGTGAAAGGTACATGGGTGTTCCCATTCTGCTATCCTCCAGGGGTTGTGGCTCAAGGACCTCTCTGCCAGCCTGGCTCCTGTTTGTCTTTTTTAGTCTAGTGGCCTCCACCTCACAGCAGCCCTCCTACTTGGACCTGCCACCCACCCCAGAGCTTGATTGGATGGAGACAGGACAACCTTTGACATTCATTGGCCATCAGGTACAATGGATAAGCTGGCCTGGAAGGACAGTGCCCCCACAATTCCTAGGACACCCATCTCTCTTGGGTTTTGTACCTTTTCTGGCCATTCCCATCTCCCTAGCTATGCCTTTCCTTGGCGTGTTCAGACCTCTTTCCTCACCCACCAGTGATTTCATCTGCACCTGTTGCCCCCTCTGCCACTGAATGCCAACTCCTACAGCTCATCCTCTGCAAAACCCCCAGCTCAATTTAGGACATTTAGGCACATGAATCTAACTTACCCTACCATCCCTAGATTTCCAGAACTGTATGAGTTCTTGTCTCCTCTTTCATCTCTTACATCCTCTGTGAGTAGACCTAGTTTACTTGCTGGCTGTAAGATGGCCTCTGTTACGTTTTGGAAGTTTCTGTTCCCCCTGCATTCCTGTCCTAAACAGAAAGCCACTGCCTCACCTGCTGTCTTGTACACGTGCATCTTCTGATTTTTTGCATGTGTCGTTGCTATGGCATTAAATATTATGTCTACCTTCCTTCAGCCTGCCTCAAAGATCACCTTTTCATGGAAGGCTTATGTGAACAGGTCGCCTGTTACAAATGTATGTGGGACCACGTAAAAAAACTGTCAATGTAATCTGTGTTAATTTCTGCTTAAGTCTCTTCCCCCTTGGTACATACTGCCCTGTGTAGAAAGGGTTTTGCTTATGATGCAACTAGTAGGCACTCAGTATTTTAAGATTTAATGCCAACCAGGGCATAGAACTAGCACTGTGGTACTTCTATCCCCCCTCCTGTGGCTTGCCCTTTTTCTAGCTAGGAATATCCCATCCTGCCCTCAGTTTCTTATCTGGGATTTTCCTCCCCATTTCCAACTATAGGATGCACCAGGAATTGGTAACATCCACTCAGGTAAGATCCAGGGCAGTGTTTCTCAGATGGTAAGAGGCAATTACTTTATTTTTTTTAAGTTTCTTATTTTAGGGGTGCCTGGGTGGCACAGTCAGTTCAGCATCCCAACTCTTGGTTTTGGCTCGGGTATGATCTTGGGGTCTTGAGATCAAGCCCACACTCAGCACAGTCTTAAGATTCTCTCTCCTTCTCCCCACCACCCCTGTGCTCTCTCACTGAAATTTTTTTAAAAGAAGATGGGTGCCAAACCAGCTGCCACCCAGGCACCCCAATTACTTTTTTTAAGAATACAGTTAAGATAAAGTGCTATCTGATATAAGGCCTTGTATCTTTAATATATGAAGAATTATCAAAACTCAGAGGGATGTAAAAAGATGTTCATCACAGTGACTAAAATGAAACGCTATGTATGTGAAAGAACATTCCTAAACTGCCGGTGGCAATGTTAAAATGGCATAACCATTTGGGGAAACAGTTCAAGGATTTAAGTTAAACATACACCCACCATCATGATCCAGACATTGCAGGAGAAAAAGCAAATATGTCTGCACAAAGTCTTGCACACCAGATGGTCACAGCTTTAGTTGCAGTACCCCAAAACTGAAACTGAAAACAATCCAAACGTGCCTCAACAAAGGAACAGAGTAGCGCTCAACAAAGTATTGTTAAGTGCAGCACAGATAAATCTTAAAATAACTATTAGAAACCAGATGGAAAAAAGGCACATACCAGCAAATGCAAACTAGAGTTAACAGGCACACAGCCATGGTTGCCTGGGGCTGGGAAGAGGTACAGAAAGATGCAGAAGTACTTTATTTTTTTTTTTATGATAGTCACACACAGAGAGAGAGAGGCAGAGACATAGGCAGAGGGAGAAGCAGGCTCCATGCACCGGGAGCCTGACGTGGGATTCGATCCCGGTCTCCAGGATCGCGCCCTGGGCCAAAGGCAGGCGCCAAACCGCTGCGTTACCCAGGGATCCTGCAGAAGTACTTTATAAAGGGGAAGAGGATACACAACGGTGACAGCTGGTATCGTGTGACCCATTTACTCAAAGCTTTTTTCAGATTGTATACTGTCCATGTGTGCAGCTGTAGGTCAGTCATGCCTCAACAAAACTGTAAAGTGTCAGTACAGCATATCACGTGTAAGGTATGTTGCTTTACATTAGCCCAAGCCCCTCAACTTCCCATGGTCCAGAGTTCCTCAGTTTTGCTTTTTAACATTTCAGGTGGCAATTGGTAAGAGCTTATAGCTAGGGCATGTGTCACGGTAGCCTGAAACTTAAGTGCCTTCATTCCTGCTTAATGGGTCTTTTCCAGGTGCTACACCTCCCTGGATGGTCCAGGATGAAGAATACAGTTCTGTAAACCAACAAATAGGACCATCCTATGAAGAATTTCTTAAAGAAAGTGAGTAAACCAATTCAAGAACGGGAATAAACTCTAATAAAAATAATAAAAACAGCTCAAAAACTGTTTACTTCTTTGTAGAGGAAAAACAGAAATTGAAGAAACTCCCCCCAGACAGAGTTGGAGCCAACTTTGATCACAGCTCCAGCACCAGTGTAGGCTGGCTGCCCTCTTTTGGCCGGGTCTGGAATAATGGACGTCGCTGGCAATCCAGGTATAGGTCCAGTTCCAGGACCCCAACACCCCAACCCTAACACCCCCTCTCCCCTTGGAGAGGTCAGCCTTCATCCTGCTAACCCTTCATTTCCTTTCAGACATCAATTCAAAACGGAAGCTGCAGCAAGGAACAAACAGTCATGTAAAGAAAAAAAGCCAATCATTTCCTGATATTTTCCAACCACCATTAAGGCACAAAGCCAAGTCAACAAACCCTACCTGCTTATTCTTCTCTGTAACTAGTTTTCTTAGGAAAGAGACATACCCACTTATTTCATTTAATAAAGTTTTATTTCCCAAAATGTACAGTTGGTGGGATCTGCAAAAAAAACAAAAACAAAAATAAAGAATCAGAATTATACAGCCTTATGTAAGATATGTATACTTTCTATGCCATGAGCCCCTGGGTTCTTGTTACCTTGTTCATGCATCTTCACCGGCAGCTGGGGCATCTCCACCCTTGGTGTTTCTGGTGTAAATTACTTGAGCTCTGTGCTTTGAAACCAGTTTAATAAGTCCTAGAAAGAAAAATAAGGATACATTTTTCACAAGTACTATGAAACACTCAATGTAAACACTAGGAATGCTGAATTTAAGCATAAGTGTTTAATAAGAACACCCCTGAGGGCACCTGGGTGTAGCTCAGTGGTTGAACATCTGCCTTTGGCTCACAGCATGATCCTGGGGTCCTGGGATCTGAGTCCCTCATCGGGCTCCTTGCAGGGAAGCCTGCTTCTCCCTCTGCTTACCTTCTCTCATGAATAATCTTTAAAAAAACAAAACAAAACAAAACTGGGCAGCCCCGGTGGCTTAGTGTGTTTAGCACCGCCTTCAGTCCAGGACGTGATCCTGGGGAGCCGGGATCGAGTCCCGTATCAGGCTCCCTGCACGGAGCCTGCTTCTCCCTCTGCCCGTGTCTGTCTCTCAAATAAATAAATAAAAACCTTAAAAAAAAAAAAATCTTTACATTTCTTGGTGGTAATCTAATTTTATCTATTCTAAATGAGGGGCCTATGACTTGCTATTGGGATGGTTACCCTAAGCACTTAAATAAAATTTACTTAGAGCAAGCGTGTGCACATGCATAAGCAGGGGGAGCAGGAGAGGGAGAAGCAGGCTCCCTGCTTAGTAGAGAGCCCAATGTGGGCCTCATCCCCAGGTCCCTGGGATAATGACCCCAGCTAAAGGCAGACCCTTAAGCTACTGAGCCATCCAGGCACCCCACCCTCCTGACACTTAAAAAAAAAAATACTACTTCCATATTAGACACTAGAGATGGTTTAAAATATTTATACTCCTTTACACTAATGTGGATGAAGTTAGAGTAATTAGATCCAACGCCCAATTTTTTTAAAATAAAGTAAAAAACGTTTTACTATCAAAGCTTTTGGTAGTTCCATAGTATTTCAACATCATTGGGATTCTTCTGTAATATTTAAGGTGAATTTACTTGAAAACACAGGGATCCTGAGGCTTCCACCAATATGACATAGGGGTCCATGGGACAAATCTGGCCAAGGACCCTGCTTCCGGGTCTACCCAAGGGGAAACGTGGGTTAGAGTATTACATCCAGTGGTGAGCCTGTGCCCATTTACTCAATTCCAGTAAAGACAGTGTAGGGTGGCTAACACCGTCATGCCAATTTAAGTGTAAAAGCCCATCAGCACAACACACCCCTCTCACCTTTACTGAGGAGCTCCTGAAGGGCTGCCCTGGCCAGAGAACCTCGAATCTTCAGTCTCTCAGAGACAACAGCTGGAGTTATAAGCTTATAGTTGGGAACCTCCTTACAGAGTTTGTCGTATGTCGCTTTGTCAAACAACACCAGATTATTGAGCTTGTCTCGAACTTTGCCTTTGGACCACTTCTGCTCACGAAAAGAAAAAAAGAGGGAGTCGTTGCTCCTGGAAGAGATCACGCTTTCCCTCCCCAGACCACCTGTGTCAGCGAACTCGTCCCCCTGGCCTTAGTACTACAGCGCAAGGGATCCTTGGCCTGCAAAAACCCACGAAATTCAGAATTTACAGAAAGTTTACCAACTAAGATTCAGACCACCAAGACACAAAAGGGACCCTCGCTACCGTTAGCGGCGTCAAAGACGCGTTAGACTAAAGAAAAGAAAAAAAGGCTGTGAGAGTTTCGGATACAGGCGGGGCCCCACGATACTATTAAAATCTCGTGCTAGGCATCAGGATACTTTGCACGCTCCCGTTTAACTTCTACGTACTGCGCAGCACCCCAGTGCTCAAAACAGAACGGTGAGGAGCGTACAAGCCCTGACGCTCGGACTCCAGACCCCACACTCCTAAGAGCAGTTGCCCCGAACGTGACGTACTAGCGCAGCCACATGGATCCGGCGTCCCCAAGCTCACCCACGCTTGGGGCGGGGGGCGCTCCTACCTTCTTTTTGGCCTTGCCTCCAGACTTGTTCACGGGGTCTTTGTCCTTCTTGGCCGACTTTCCGGCATCTTTCTTCTTCTTATCGTCCTTGGGCGGCTGTAGAGGAAAAGGGAGAATGCAGCCAGATGATACGGCGGCCCCACACCGCCCCAGCCCCACCACCCGAGCACATGGGGGAAGCAATCCTCCCGCCCGCCTCAGGGAGCGCCCGGCGGGTCTGGGGCCCTCCGTCCGGTGCCGCCTCAGCCGCGCCCCAGCGCCGCCCGGCCCTCAGAACCGCACCGGCCTCCCACCCTCAAGAGCTCACCATAGCGAAGCTCGGCGAGCAACAGCCACCCCTGCAGCCTCACTAAGATGTCGGACAAAAAGGAAGCGCCGCTCCCGGACCGGCCCAGAAACCTCCACCCTCAGCGAGCACTTCCGGGGCAGGGGGCGGAGCCCGCGGAGGAAGGTCGGCAGCTGCGGCCCGCGCCGGGCGGGGAGCGGGCGCCTCGGGGGGCAGTGGTTCCCGAGCCGCGCACCCGAAGGCTGCTCGCGGCTTGTCGGGCTTTGCCGCTAGTTTTGAGGCAGCCACGTGGTGCTATCCCCTGACTCTGGAAATTAGTAAAGACAGAAAACCACCCGCCACGCCCCTCAAAGGCTCCCGGGGACCCCGCTAAGCGTGGTGCCTCAAGCGCGCAGGCGCCGCAGCGGCCCGCCCGGCGGGGAGGGGAGGGGGGGCAGGGCCGGGGGCGGGGCTGCGGCTGCGGTTCCGGGGCGGGGCCGTCAGGAACGCGGCGGATCGCCGTCTCGGACCCGCGGCCGCAGCGATGGCGATCTTTAGTGTGTATGTGGTGAACAAAGCGGGCGGCCTGATCTACCAGCTGGACAGCTACGCGCCACGGGCCGAGGCTGAGAAAACTTTCAGTTACCCTCTCGATCTGCTGCTCAAGCTGCACGACGAGCGTGTGCTAGTTGCCTTCGGCCAGCGCGACGGCATCCGGGGTGGGCTAGGCTCGCGTCGGATGGGGGGCGGGCCTGGTGCAGCGGGGTGGGCTGGGGGCTCCGCCGGGCGGGAAGGGGGGCGGGGAGAGGGGCCGAGGAGAGGGCAGCGGGGTGGACTGGAGCCTGAAGCCTCCGCCCGGCGGGGAGGGGGGCGGGGGTGAGACCTTCGGCGGAATGCCCACGCTGCCGCTTCACTGACCCCAGCCTCACCTCTGCAGTGGGCCACGCAGTGCTGGCCATCAATGGCGTGGACGTGAACGGCAAGTACACTGCCGACGGGAAAGAGGTGCTGGAGTACTTGGGCAATCCTGCCAATTACCCGGTGTCTATTCGATTCGGCCGACCCCGCCTCACCTCCAATGAGAAGCTTATGCTGGCCTCTATGTTCCACTCGTAAGTCCCCCAACCCTTCCTGGGGCCTTTGGGCCTGCACTTGGCCCGTAGGCCGGCTGCATCAGGGAAGTCTCCTGAGCAGCCCTGCTTACCTTTTTTGGGGCCCCCTTTTAGATCGTCAGTTCTTGCGAAAAGAAAAAGAACTAATCCAGGTTGACTAGGTTTTAGGTAATTCTGGCAGTGGTGTGATCTTGCACAAGACTTCACTCAGCTTTAGTTTCTAACGTAAGGTAGCTAAATTAAATGACCGTTAGGACCTTTTTCAACTCAATTATTATAGGAGATGTGCTGGGTAAATCATAGTCAAGGGCTAAGTAACCATGGCACATAATTCCAGTGGTAATTTTACCCAAAATTTTCACGTAAAATGTTTTACAGCAAAATATGTGTAAAATACATGCAGAGTTTAAATGGATTTTAAAGATATTTTGGTGCTGCTGCTAGGCAGTTAATACTGTCTCTTCTGACTTCTCAGGGTGTAATGTGAACTCAGCAGACAGGGTCATTTCAGGGGAAAAGTTTGAGAAGTGCTCCTCCCTTAAAGCAGTGGGGCACATTCCCAAACTTACCTCCTTTGCAAATAGGCTGTTCGCAATTGGTTCCCAGCTGTCTCCAGAACAGGGCAGCTCAGGCATTGAGATGCTGGAGACCGACACGTTCAAACTGCACTGCTTCCAGACACTGACAGGTAGGCGTCTCCAAATAGGCCAGAGGGATGCAGTGGGGCAGGTTGGGGGAAGGGATTGACCAAAGACAACTTTGGTAAGCAAGGGGGTGGTGGTTAGCTTTTCCTGGGACAATTGTACAGACACGTCAATTTGTTTTGTGAATCCAAAGCCAATATTTAACCTGATGCCAGTTTTGTCCACACCACCCAGAATGCTCAGCCCTGGTTATCCCGTGTGCAGATAAAATTCACCATAATAGTTTCTCATGTTGCACACGTTTCAGAAGGTGTGTTTCAAAATGAAACTTGAATGCCAAATGGAAATGACCTTTGGATCATGTAATTGCTTCACTCCCTTAATGGAGATCATTGAAAACTGCCTCAGTCTGTCCCCTGCCAGGCACTTGCTGCCGAGGGACCACAAGACTAAGAATTAAGTGACAGAGCTAGATGTCAAAGTGTAGTCTCAATCAGTTGGGTGATGTGATAGTCCCTTCCCTGCTCCAGTCTTATAGATTTCACAGTCTTGCCTTTCCTGCTTTATGGAGCAATAAAGACAAAATTAAAAATGGGCTTATGAAAATGCTCTACACACACAGGGTGATGTTACTTGCCGCATTCTCTGCCCTATGGTGACCATTCTTGGCCCTTCTCCAGGGATCAAGTTTGTGGTGCTGGCAGATCCTAGGCAAGCGGGAATAGATTCTCTTCTCCGAAAGATTTATGAGATCTACTCAGACTTTGCCCTTAAGAATCCATTCTACTCCCTGGAAATGCCCATCAGGTAGGTGGTCTCCCTCCCCAGAGACTGGTCAAAGCATCCTTGCTCCTCCCTTTATGCTCTTCCTCAAGCTCATTTTTCAAAAGGATAAGAAGTGTTGCTTTTAAATGAAACACAAGTAAACTAGTCTTTTTTGATATTTTGAGAAGCCAAAGACTTTTCTTGGGGTTCATGTCCTTTTTCAAGCAAGAGTTTCCACTGGTTTCCCCTTGGCACCCAGAGTGGGGGAAAGAGTCTGAGACCTTACACTTCGTCCTTATTTGTGCCTCTTGGGTCTGGCCTAGGTGTGAGCTGTTTGACCAGAACCTAAAGTTAGCCCTGGAGGTGGCAGAGAAGGCTGGAACTTTTGGACCTGGATCATAGGCTGAGCCTGCAATGGATCCCCCACATTTTGAGAGATCCTTCAGCAGGTATCCTGCTGTTTCCACTCCGATGGAGATGCCCACAGCCTCGTTAGTGCCCTTGGAGATGGGAGGGTGCTGAGCCTGATGACGTGTACTGATCCCTGAGCCTTAACACATGCTCTACCCTCCTGTATCTCTTGTGGGCCTACTTCCCAACTCTGTACAGGTTTATTTATGGAGGGAGTAGACCCATAAATGCTAAATAAATAAACATTCCTTTTACCTGTGTTTGCTATCCTAACTGATGGTTTAGGGGGAAAGGCTCCTGTGGGGAAACAGGAATGATAAGGGAATTCTGGGAAGATGAGATATGTTCTAGTAGAAAACAAGTAATTGTTCACTGAATAAATGAGCATGGGACTTTGTGTCGGGAGCCTTGGGTCTAGTTCCAGAATTGCTGACTTCTAGGATGGCCTTGGCAGTGTTGGTGATGATGGTGGGGTATTTATCAGGTGCAGCCAGGCTTTACTGCTTTAACTATTTTAACCCTCACCCTAATCTAGGGGATGTATTCTATTACAGATAATAGATTTAGCAAGATACAGACTCTGCCTCAGACTCTCAAAGCTAGTTACTAAGCACCTGAGTTTGAACCCAGGCTTTCTGACTATACTATCAGTGAGCCACTGTTATACTGCCTTCCTCCATCGAATGGTTTCATCTACCTGAAACCCAGTAGCTTCATCTGTAAAATGATCATTGAATTAGTGTGATGTTGAAAGCAGAGGAGCCCTAAGCTTAAAGGAGTCCATGTAAAATTTCCCATTTCAAGGAGATGAAAGCTGTCTGGCTTGTAGAACCCCTTGGAAAGAATGACTCACTGATGGTGTTTAGTATCAAATCTAGTTTTAATCTATATCAAGTCTTCCTCCCTCCCTACGATGCTCCACCCGCCCCTTTTTCCCAGGGTACCCGTGAGAGTGATGGCCTCCTCACCCCCTGGGATTGGAGGTATTGGCTGTTGCCCCCTGCTGAGAGGCCTTGGGGCAGAAATCTTGAGCCACTGGTACCCTGCAGCTGCCAGAGGGGCCGCACCTCTCTGGGACACTGGGCAGGACCCAGGAGGGAAGACGGGTGCAGGAGACTCCCTGACTGCAGGGGTTTCCTGTCTGAAGGCAGGAAATAGGAGCTAATGGAGTCCAAGAACCAAAAATGTTTGCCTTTTAAATAAAGCACAGGATGGGGAGCTGGGACCTCATTAGGCACTGATATCTTCCAGTGCCACCTGGGCGAGGGAAAAGGAGCACAAAAGGAAATGAAAGGTTCAGTGCTAGCCGGAGCAGCCCCCCTTTCGTTCTCTCTGCTCCTCCCACTCCCCCCAACCCTGTGCAGGGGAAGGCCACAGGTAGGAGAGGATGCACTGGAGCCTGTACTCTCTTCACTCAGCCTTCTTGGGCACCCGGCCCATCTTGGTGCGGATGTTTCGTAGGAGAAAGAAGGCAGCTGTGCTGACTGCACAGATCACTTCAGCCACCCAGAAGGCTGTGCTCCAGCTGTAGTGCTTGGCAATGGTGCTGAAGGGCAGCCCAGCCAGAAAGCCGCCCACTGCCAAAGAAGAGGGGGAAGGGCCTGGGTCATTTGTGAGGCCAGAGTCAGCGGGGCTTGCCCCAGCCTCTAGCTAGATTGTGTGCAAGGTACAGTGGAGATGACGCAGAGACTCTACAGGGCATCACTCACCATTGGCCATGAGTCCTACAATGGCGTGGGAGGTGCCGCACAAGTTGGGAGGGGCACTCTCGTTGGCTATGACTCCGAACAAGGCAATGGGACCATAAGAGGAGAAACCAAACACAGCTCCCAACACCAGGATCCAGAGCTACAAGGACAGTGCAGGGTGGCATTCAGAGTAAGAAAGCCTACCTACCTACCTCTCCCAAAGGAGAGAAAAATGCTGTGCCCCCAGAACAAATGACTGTAGTTAAGGAGATGGTCAGGGACTCCCCTCACCCCACTTCCCAATACAGCAGAAGGGCAGAGTTAGAGGAATGAGGCCACACTGAACCAACCTGAGGGCCTGTGTGGACGGGCGAAGGGGGGACAGAAGCCATCCCTCCAAGGTAAATGTTATCTCTTAGAATTTATGCTAGCTGGTTGGGCTCGGGGCCAGGCAGATAGGGCAGGACAAGGGAGAGACAAACAGGAGGGAAACCAGATAAGGCACCTCATCCTCCGTAAAGCCTGTGAGCTCAGCGAGAGGGTGAAGAGCTGGAGTCCAGAAAGCAACATCCTAGAGGAGCACAGGGAAGAGAAGAAAACCAGGCCCCGAGTCCAGGAGGAGCACCCCAGTATAGAGAACACGAGAGGTGAAGCACCACTGTAAAGGGAGATCTGAGAGGCAGAGAAAGGCCTGGGCCAGGGTGGAGCCAGGGGCAGGGAACGGGCAGTCAGTGGCCCTGGCTTCCTCATCCTTGTGCCAGCTGCAGGCCAGGTGCTCCTCATTTACCTTGGGGGAGTCACTGGTCACAGTGACCCGGAAGAGGTACATGGACACGGTCATGCCAGCCATCATGAGCAGCAACAGGCCATGGCGAGGGTTCCCATACACGGACAGCCCTGCCTATGGATACAGTCCCAGCAATGTCAGGCCCTACTAGCAGCCGAGAACCTCCGCCCCTGGACTCTGACACAGCAGGGCCTCTGCTGACAGGTCTTTGGCAATCCCACCACCATTCTTGGCCTGGGGCGGCTCTGGGAGGCCCCGGGGACCTGCTCATTGTGTCCTGAGGCCAAACTCCACAACATCCTGTCCTCCACGGCAGGGCAGGGTCAGGACACGCGCTGACAAGCTGCACCTAGTCTCTGCTCAACCCCATTTTCCTGGGGCTATAGAGGAGCCCACTGCTGGGCTGAAAGAAATCCTGGCTCTCCTTGACATCAGTTAAAAACCCTTTCTTGGGTTTTTAAGCTTGCCTTGCCTCCACAGCCCCCAGCAAATAAGAGTACCTGGAATCCTTCCAACCTCCCCCCTGCCATCTGCCAACCTGCCCGTGCCCCAGGGCTCCCATCTCTCTGGTGCCTGGCCCAACCGTGCTGGGAAGATGTGAAGGGACCCTCCTCCTTCCTGTGCCTTCCGCCCACTCACCTTTGCCATGGCCCGATCTGACAGGTAGCCAGCTGCGATGCTGCCTACGAGGCCCCCAACCTCCAGGGCACTCATGTAGGAGCTACCTGGAGTAAGGGGGTGGTGGTGGGAAGAGGGAATGGAAGGGGGGAATGGAGTTACATGCTGGGGTTTTCCCAGATTGGCCGAAACCCAGAGAGGTACAGGGTCCCTGGAGGGTGAGTGACCAGCAGCAGCTGTCAGTACCGCCTGGCCTCACAGGAAGAAGAAAGGGATAAAGAGAAGCTGGGCCTCAATTTCCCATCCCCTTCATGGACTCCTGCTCCCTGTGCCCAGCCCTTTTGCAGCACCCCTCTTACCCACGAGGACAGACTGTCCTTTCTCCTGGATAAGGAAGAACTGGCCCCAGTCAGTGCAGCATGTCTTTACACCGAATACCACAAGGTAACCAGTGGAGAGCACCCACAGGTAGGGCGACAGCAGCAGCTCCTGTAATGTACTCTCGTCCTTCAGGGAGCCTGGGGGCAGGAGGAGGCCAGGACTCAGGCTCTGCTCTCGCTGCTCTGCCCCAACTGAGCCCCTGCCACTCACAAACCAGCTGCAGGGCCAGAGTCCATCCACATAGCCAGCAATCAGCAGGAAGGCACCCCTCCACCCACTGCTCTGCCCCCATCCCCCTCCACAGCAAGCCTCAGCAGAAGATGGCCGGAGGCACCCAAGCCACTAAACCTTAGGATGCTGCCTAGGACAGGGAAGTCTGGCTCTGCTGTGAGGAAGGACCAGAATACAACATGAGTCACAGCGTTTATTGGCTCTGCCACTTGTTTGGTACTTAAGTATCTCTTGGAGTGGAGTTTTATTTACTCCCCACCAACTCGCCACCACCATCCCTCCCCCTCCATCCATTTGCTAGCCCAGGGCCAGGCAGACAGCCAGTCCTCAACGAAGGTCTGCCAAACGAATGATGAATGAAGGTGCCCCAGTGATCGGCTTGGGTGGGTGCTCACCTTTCTTGCCCTTGGAGGGGGTGGGGTCCAGGTTTCGGAGTCCGACATCAGCAGGTTCATTGTGGATGAGCAGGAGACAGAGGAAGGAGACAACCACACAGAGGGCCCCAGACAGGGCCAGCGTGCTGCGCCAGCTATAGCTCTGGGCCAGGATGGTTGCCAGGATAGGGCCCAGTCCTCCAGCCAGGTTCATGCTGGTTGATAGAATGGCCCACCAGGTGCCAAACTGAGATGGCTCAAACCACTGTGGGGCAGAGAGGTGTGGAGTAGGTGCCCATGTTAAACATGCTGAAGGTGAGGGTCAGGTGAGGCAGACCTAGAGGCTCACATTATAGGGATGAGGAAGAGGGCGCTTCTACTTGCCAGGGCCAATTCCCTCATCTGCCACCTGATCCCACCATGTTTAGCTCCTAAAATATCTCGACGAGCAATAGGAGCTGGACTGGCACTCCCAAGGAACCTGCTCTGGGATGGGGGTGCTGGTACTCCCACATGCTCTTTAGGCATCCGCTATGCCAGTCTAAACAAGCTCCTTGGAAGCAGACACTCACCTTCCGCAGGATCTTCCCGCACGGAGGCCAGCCCAGCCCCTGTGCCAGGCCATTGAGGAACCACAGAGCAGCAAAGACAGGTACCAAGGAGCTCCAGGAAAAGACTATATTGACCAAGCCAACCAGGAGCAGCCCGGAAGAGAAGAGCCAGCGAGCGCTCATCTGGTCGGATAGCACCCCGCTCACAAACTTGCTGATGGCATAGGCTGCCGACTGGCTGCTGGTGATGAGCCCTGCAGCGGAGGAGAGCAGGAAGCAGGACACCTGGGGAATTAGAGGCCAGGGCAAAGGCACAGGAGGGATGGAGGAAGGCGTGGGGTCAGGTGTGTAGCGGTGTAGGTTCCCTCCAAGACAACTAGGAGGAGCCTGTGCTGGAATCCTAGCACTCATTCACAGGTGCTCCTCCTCCTCACCACCAGCGCTAGCCCCAGGCTGACCCATGACTTTTCAACCTCCTGGAGAGTTCCAGCTGCAGCTGTCAGGAGGAAAGAAGGGAGAACAAGGCAGCCACCCTCCCTGGGATTTACAAATACCTGATTACATTTCCCCTCTCACCCTGGATGCCAACGCAGGGCTTCTGGAAGTTCTGTTGCCCCACCTCTGAACACGGGGCAAAGAACTTAGAGTTGGAGCCAGAGACCTTATTCCTCCTGAAAGGCAGCCTGGTGGGCCATAGGAAGTTATTTTGCCAGCTCCCTGGTTCCCATGGCTCACAATGTGGGTGGCCAGCATGCACCCTGCGGTCTGAACACGCACCCAGGCAGTGTGCAAACTGTGCTCAGAACGCAGCCTAAACACACTCAGAATAAGCCATGCCTCTGGGGGCACTCGTAGGTCACAGGCAAAGACACATCAGGTAAGCAGCCCTCGGACACGCATAGACCACACTCCTGTTCTTCACTCATATCCATACTCAGAGGCCCTTCACTTGCCACCTGCAGACTGCTCCCTGTCCTTTGCTGTGCACAGACACTCCACACTCCCACAAACGCCCAACTTGTCCTACTAGTCCTGAGTCCGGGAGCCCACCACCTTGCCCCCTTCCAGGGCTCACCCAAGTCATCCTTGTCCAGAGGGATCTCCTCCACCAACGACGGCATGACAAAGGAGAAGGTCTTGCGGTTGAAGTAGTACAGGCTGTAGCCTCCAAACATGGCCGAGAAGATCACAGTGCGGTAATAGCCGTAGCCTTGGGCTGCCATGGTGGACGGGAGCAGGCTCCACTGGCCAGGACACGGAGCCTCTGACCACAGCTCCTGCCGGTGGCTCTCTCAGCGCCCAGATCTGCTGAGTTAGGCTTTTGCTGCTCCCTCCTCCACCCAGCCTCCCAGGCTCCCTTTATAGCCACCTTCTGGACAATCATTAAGCCTGGGGCGGCTTGTAGGGAACCTAGTGTCCTGAGGGAGACAAGAAAACAGCAGATTACTGAGAAGCGGTGGGGGGCTGTAGGGGTCCCAGAGGGAGGCACTGCCCAAGACCCAGCACAAGCCAGCATGCTGGTGTCCCCACAACTTCGCGTTTCTCTTTTCCTTGTCTGCCTGCCTGTGAAACCAGCTGTGATTAAAGGCTCAACCTAATTACTTTTGTCTGCAGGAGACCAGGGGACGCAGCGGGGGGGGGGGGGGGGGGGATAAGCAGAGATGCCCTCTCTAGCCCTGCTGCCTCAGTCGCCTACCTTCTCATTCATTCAACCAAGAAGTTTACGGAGGGCTTGCAGGCTGCCAAGCACTGCACTCAGTGCTGGGTTAGTTTCCACACACACACACACACACTCCATTAGACACCTACCCCCAACAATCCGATTCCCAAGTCTTAAGACTGACTCAAGCCCTGTAACTTCCAATGCTCAGCACACACTGAGGTAACTGTTCATGCAGTTGCAGAATCGTAAGCAAGAGACATTTTCCATGGCAGGCCCTGTGTTGCACCGAAACCCCCCGCCCCCACAAAGGCTGGGATCGTGGTTGGGTCACTCAACTGCCTCTGGCCCTGTACCCTGTAACGTCAGTATGGGGTGCCCTCTGGCCGGCTGGGGGCTGCAGGGGCCGTGACAACACGGCCCGAAGGCGGGAAGGTGCACCCGCGGACTTCAGGCGGCAGTGCCGAGCCCGCCCGCCTCCCAGGGCCCGGGCAACACGCCCCCGGCTTTTCCGCTCGGTTGGGAAGGCAATCGGAGCGGAAGGCGGAGGCGCGAGCGGCGCGGGCGACCGCACGCAGTCCCCCAGGGGCTCCTCGCCTCGGGCTCCGAGCGGCTCCGTCCCGCAGGATGGGGCCAGGCGCAGGCTCTCGGCACCTGCCCAGCCCCGTGTCCTCAAGCTACCCGGGACACCCGACTCGGTCCGGGAGCCCACGGATCCGGGTGCGAGAGCTGGAGAGGTGCGGAGACGCCGGACTGGAGCGAAAAAAACAGCAGCAGGTGCGTGCAGGTCACGGAGGGCGCTTCGGAGGCCCCCAGACCCAAGAACTGCCCCCCACCCCGGAAGGGGCAGCTGCAGTAACAGCTCCGCCTCGTATCGCAAGTTACAGCAGCCTTCGTGGAGGCTCTAACAAAGGAGCCCCGCGGCCCGAGACTCCCCCTCCAGCCCCGCCTTCGGGCGGCGCCCCCACCCCCGCATTCCGCCCGCTACCTGAGCGCAGGCGGGAGCCGAATAGGAGCGAGCAGGGCGCCCGGGCCCGCGGGCGCATGCGCCTGCGCGCGGGGCGGGGCCTGGCCAAGAGCCAAGTCCACCCCCGAAGAGTTGCGTCCTGGTCCTCCGGTTGCATTGGCTTCTGGGTGAGGACAGCGCCCCTTAGGGGGTGAACTCGTATGTACCTTCTTTCTTTCTTTTTTTTTTTTTTTAAGATTTTATTTATTTATTAATGAGAGAGAGGCAGAGAGAGAGAAGCAGGCTCCACGCAGGAAGCCCGACGCGGGACTCGATCCTGAGTCTCCAGGATCACGCCCTGGGCCGAAGGCAGGCACTAAACCACCGAACCACCCAGGGATCCCCCACACTCTCTTTTTAATAAATAAATAAATAAAACCTTTAAAAATAAATTTAAAAAGACAACATACCAAATGGACAAGATATTTGCAAATGCCATGTCCAATAAAGCGTTAGTATCCAAAATATATAAAGAACTTTTACAGTTCAACACCAAAAAAAAAAATAATCAAATTTAAAAATGGGTGGAAGAGGGACACCTGACTGGGTAGTCAGTAGAGCTTGCAACTCTTTATCTCAGAGTTGTCAGTTCAACCCTCATGTTGGATACAGAGATTACTCAAAAGTAAATAAGCAAATAAACTATACAAACTTAATTTTAAAAATGAGTGGAACCCATGAACAGACATTTCTTCAAAGAAGACATCCAGATGACCAACAGACACATGAAAAGATGCTCAACAGCACTCATCATCAAGGAAATGCAAATCAAAGACATAATGAGATATTATTTCACACCTGTCAAAATGGCTAAAAAAAACACAAGAAAGAAGTGTTGGCAAGGATGTGGAGAAAAAGAAACACGTGTGCTGTTGGCAGGAATGCAAACTGGTGCATCCACTGTGGAAGACAGTATGGAGGTTCCTCAAAAAAATAAAAAATAGAATTACCATTTGATCCAGTAATTCCACTACTGGGAATTAATTTACCCCAAAGAATATGAAAACACTAATTCGAAAGATACATGCACCTCTATGTTGATTGCAGCAGTATTTATTTTATTGCAACAATAACCAAATTATGGAAGTAGCCCAAGTGTCCATCAATAGATGAATGGATAAAGAAGATATACATATATATATAGAATATTGCTCAGCTGTAAAAAAGAATAAAATCTTGCCGTTTGCAATAATATGGATGGATTAAGAGAGTATAATGCTTATATGTCAGAGAAAGACAAATACCACATGACTTCACTCATGTATGGAATTTAAGAAACAAAACAAATGAACAAAGAAAAAAGAGAAAAAACAAAAAACAGACTGTTGGGACGCCTGGGTGGCTCAGCAGTTTAGCGCCTGCCTTGGGCCCAGGGCATGATCCTGGAGTCCCAGGATCAAGTCCTGCATCAGGCTCCCTGCATGGAGCCTGCCGCCTCTCTCTCTGTGTCTCTCATGAATAAATAAATAAAAATTTAAAAAAACAAAAAAACACAAAAAACAGACTGTTAACTATAGAGAACAAACTGATGGCTGCCAGAGAGGAGGCAGGTGGGGGGACAGGTGAACTAGGTGAAGAGGATTAAGAGCACACTCACTGTGCTGAGCACTGAGTCATGTATGGAATTGTTGAACCATTCTATTGTAGACCTGAAACTAATCTAACACTATGTTAACTATACTAGAATAAAAATAAACATAAATAAAAGTACACCTTATTATTATAAGCACAGTGGAGGACTACTCATAGAGCACAGACTTTTACATTGTAATTATTTGGTTTTTTTTTTAATTTTTATTTATTTATGATAGTCACAGAGAGAGAGAGAGAGAGAGAGGAAGAGGGAGAAGCAGGCTCCATGCACCGGGAGCCCGATATGGGTCGATCCCGGGTCTCCAGGATGGCGCCCTGGGCCGAAGGCAGGCACCAAACCGCTGTGCCACCCAGGGATCCCCATTGTAATTATTTGAAAGGCCCTTTTAAATAATTACCAAAAACATTTGCCCTCAGATGCATGGGTTACACTTTTATGGGCATGACTATAACCATCTTTGCAAAAAGTTGTACAAAATAATAAATACAAAACTCAATTTCCTTTCATTTTAGCACCACCTGACCTCTTTTTTAAAAAGATTTTATTTATTTATTTATTTATTTATTTATTTATTTATTTATTTATTTGAGAGAGAGCACAAGTGATGGGAGGGACAAGCAGACTCCCTGCTGAGCTGGGAGCCCAGTGTGGGACACAGGACAGGATACTAGGGCCCCAGGATCATGACCTGAGCTCAAGGCAGACACTTAACCCACTGAGCCACCCAGGCACACTGTGGTAGCTGTTTCATCTTTTTTTGTTCCTTTATATTTTTCCTCTTATAAAAAGTTTATCTGATATAGTGATATGTTCATGTTATTATATTTTGTAATAGTAGTATTATTCATCATGGGTATTTCTACTGTCAATAACAATCTAAATTAATTTTGGCAGAAGGTTAGACACTGGTCTTTGAACCAAAGCAACATGAAAGCAAATATTTTGACATCTGTTAGGATGGAGTGGCAACTGTCATATATTTGGAATGTTATGATCCCAAGGAATCTTTATATAATGTGAATTACACTGTATATTGTATTTTTTATAAAATTTAGCCAAATTTTACAGAAGAAATTGTCTGATCATTGGTCCTATCTATGTCAAACTGGATTTTTTTTTTTAAATTTTTTTTTATTTTATTTTATTTATTATTTATGATAGTCACAGAGAGAGAGAGAGGGAGAGGCAGAGACACAGGCAGAGGGAGAAGCAGGCTCCATGCACCGGGAGCCTGACGTGGGATTCGATCCCGGGTCTCCAGGATCACACCCTGGGCCAAAGGCAGGCGCCAAACCGCTGTGCCACCCAGGGATCCCGGATTTTTTTTTTTAAAGGTAATACATGAACGAAGTTAACCTTCTTCCTAAAGCCTAAATAAAGAGAAAGCAGTTTCCCATTAAAAAAAAAAAAAAAAAAAAGAGGGGCATCTGGGTGGCTCAGCCGTTGAGCCTCTGCCTTTGGCTCTGGACGTGAGCCTGGAGTCCTGGGAGCCTGCTTCTCCCTCTGCCTATGTGGCTGCCTCCCTCTGTGTCTTTCATGGATAAATAAATAAAATCTTTAAAAAAAAAAGAAAACTTTCATGACTAATATTTTTTAATAGTCTAGGTCAGTTTTTTTGCAGAATGTCTTTCAATACAGATTTATCCAACTGTTTTTGCCATAAGGATGTTATGCAGGTTTTGGCAGAAGTACCGCATAGATGATAATGTGCCACATCGGGAGGCCTGTGATAAGTTTGATCACTTAGTTAAAATAGTGTCCACCTGATTTCTATACTGTAAAGTGTATCGCGCTTTGTAATTAGTAACCTGTGGGCCTACCTTACCTCTTTCTAGGCTTCAGGTCCTTCCAACCTCTGATCAACCTCCAATCGAAATCTTCAGAGCCATCCTCCCTCCCCCCCTGCCCCGGGGACCAGGCCGCAGCAGCTCCCGAGCTTAGCCGCTACTGCCCACCCGCTACCAGCCCGGATTTGCCGGGATCCTTCCGCCCACGTGGAGGCCGCGGCCCGCCGCCCGGTCCGCCTGCACCTGCGGGCCTCCTGCCCTCCTCCGCCGGGGCCTCTACTTCCACCGCGACGCTGTGGCTCTGCACGCCGAGGCCACTTCCTCCGCGAGCGGGCCGGGGACCAGCGCCGGGTCGCCGGGAGCCCTCGGGTGCAAACCCGGCCCCGCGGCCGCGCCCTCCCGCAGGAGGAGCAGAGGCCTCCCGGGACGGGCCCTGCAAACCCCTGAACCCCGGGGAGAACCAGAAGCAGGCCCTCGTGGCTCTGCAAGCCCCGGGCGGTGTCCGCGTAGACTCGGGACCTGCCGGAGAACCTAGAGGAGCAGGTGAGGCTCCTCGGGAAGATGGGGCGCACCTGCCTGAGCTCGGCGGGCTGGGCCGCGCAGCATCCCTTCCAGGGGCTCCCCCTGCAGCAGACCGGCAGCCTCCGGAGCCTTGGAGGGGCCCCTCTGCGCCCCCCCCCCCGGTTCTGGGGGCTTCTGCGTGAGCCTCTCCCTGCAGCCCCTAGGCAGCCTTTTAGTCCTCGCCCAAGCTGTGAACCAAGTGGAAACAGTACAGCTCTTTGCAGGAAAAAAAAATATATTTTTCGGGTAGTTCTTGGTTAGTGTATAAAAACACAAGTGGGGGATCCCTGGGTGGCGCAGCGGTTTAGCGCCTGCCTTTGGCCCAGGGCGCGATCCTGGAGACCCGGGATCGAATCCCACGTCGGGCTCCCGGTGCATGGAGCCTCCTTCTCCCTTTGCCTATGTCTCTGCCTCTCTCTCTCTCTCACTGTGTGCCTATCATAAATAAAATAAAATAAAAAAAACACAAGTGATTTGGGGGTCATTGATTTTGTATCCTGCAACGCTCCTGGATTCCTTTATCAGTTGTAACAGGTTTTTTTTTTTTTTTTTTTGGTGGAATCTTCAGGGTTTTCTCCATATAATCATGTCATCTGATGGATTAAGATCATCTTAATCCACTGTTCTCAAGATCATTTTACCTTCTTAAAAACTACTGAGGACTCCAGAGAGCTATGTGGGTTATATCTATGGATATTTTTCGCATTATTAAAAGAGATTTAAAAACTTACTTATGAAAAAAAACTTACTTATGAATACATTTTAAAGTAATACTAATAAACCTTATAGCCTTTCCACATATTTGTGAATATTCTTTTTTGATAGTATACTAAGATGAACAAGTGGTAGTTTGTTAAAGATTGGCTGCAGTGTGGAACTTGAAACCAAGTCATTGAAGTTTTCATATTCCAATGTTAGAATCTATTGTTCTACCTTGCACTAAAAATGGATATTTTACACATGCATGATTTTTTTTTTTTAAGAGAGAGAGTGTGTGTGTGCAGAAGGGGAAGGGCAGAGAGAGAGAATCCCAAGCAGGCTTTATGCTCAGCAGAGCTCCACGTGGGACTCTATCTCATGACCCTAAGATCATGACCTGAGCTGGAATCAAGAGTGGGTTGCTCGGCTGAATGAGCCACCTAGGCACCCTGCATGCATGATTTATTAACATCATGGTTGGTTCACTGAATTAGGCAGATCTTTCCAATGCCAATTCTTTTCTTTTCTTTTTTTTAGATTTTATTTATTCATTCATGAGAGACAGAAAGAGGCAGAGACACAGGCAGAGGAAGAAACAGGCTCCCCGCGGGGACCCCGACATGGGACTCCATCCCGAAACTCCAGGAGCATGACCTGAGCCAAAGGCAGATGCTCAACCGCTGAGCCACCAAGGTGTCCCTCCAATGCCAATTCATTTCATTACACAATACCAAAAAATGACACTTGGTTATATCATCACTGGTTTTATTGGAAAAGTGTTAAAGGAGTAGGAAACTGTCAAGCTCAAATTTTATTTTTGGCAGCAAATATTGTCAATTGGTTCCCCTGAAGTGATGGGATCACTTTATTCGTTTTGGAGATGTCTGCCAAATACCCAAGTCCCGATAACAATAACAGTAGCTTGTTTCTCAGGTGTCCTTTCAAGTAAACTTGGTGTTCCATGAAAGAAGAGGCTAATTCAGCTTACAACTCAAACAACTACATAGGTGTGTTTCCTCAGGGCAACAATTGTACTTCTGGAAGTACTTTAGTACTTTACAAAAGACTTGCTCGAGTTGAAATGAATAGGAGTAATGGTTTACTCTGCTTTATCAAGGACAGTGTTAACTGAACCTGCCTGTCTTTTCTTTCTAATTTTAAGTGTGTGGTGGTGAAGAGAATGGTGATTACTAATATGGCTTGATGCCACTACCTTGATTCACTGCAGAGGGCCTGAGACTTACTCTTCCATTGCTTTTACACTGAGTGCAGATGTGGGGAAAAAAAAAAGCAAATTACATTATTCTGCAGATAATCTTGTCCTCCCTGACTCCCTAAAAAAGTCCTCAGGGGTCCTAAGATTGCACCATTGCCTTAGTCCAACCAGGATTTGAGCTGATTTGATTGGATAGTATAGTCTGTGAAAGGTGGTACAGTTCATATTCACCCTTATTTCTAGAGTACAGTCCCTCGGGGGTTCTAACTTAATTCCTGGGCTGTTTATCAGATACCTTCTCTTTGGTGGGCTTTGAGGTCTAATTTTTGTCCACTACCACCACCCCAATCCTAGGTGGCTTGAGCTGGGCTGTCTCTCAGCAGCTTCTTTCAAATTGGCAAATGCCCTGGTGATGCAAGCAACTCTCTTCTCTGAGACCTTGACCCCTGTGCCAGGTTGATTGCAAAAATAGCTTTGATTCTTCATCTGTAGTAGATACATACAATGGAATACTGCTCAGCCATAACAAAGAAGGAAATCCTATTGTTTGTGACAACACGGTTGAAATGGAAGGGCATTATGCTGAGTGAAATAGGCAAGACAGAGAAAGACAAATACTACGGCATTTTAAAGGGGGGAGGGGCACCTGGCTGGCTCCTTCGATACCGCTTGAGACTCTCGATCCTTAGAATTGTGAGTTCGAGCCCTGTGTTGGGTATAGAGATTACCTAAACAAATAGGTCAAACTCATAGTAACAGAGAGTAGAGTAGTGGTTGTCAGGGGCTGGGGGCTGAGAGAAGTGGAGAGAGGTTGATCAAGCTTTCAGTTATAAGATGAGTAAGTTCTGAGGAACTAATGATTTATAGCACTGTTACTATAATAATACTGCATTGTATCGCCCTTACCTTTGGGGGATACATTCCAAGACACCCCCCCAGGGAATGCCTGAAACTGCAGATAGTACTAAATCCTATCTGTACTGTTTTTCCTATACATATATACTTATGATAACATTTAACTTATAAGTTAGGCACAATATGAGATTAATAACAGTAATTAATAAAATAAAACAATCATAACGACCTACTATATTAAAAATTATGTGAATGTGGTTTCTCTCCCTCTCTCAAAATATCGTACTGTACTCACAATTCTTGTGATGATGATGTGAGATGATAAAGTGCCTACATGATGAGGGGCACCAGGCTGGTGCAGTCGGTGGAGCATGTGACTCCTGATCCCAATCTTGGGATCATGAGTTCAAAGCCCACATTGGGCTTAGAGCTTACTTAAAAGAAAAAAAGTGCCTATGTGATGAGATGAAGTGAGGTGTATGATCTAGGCATTGCGATATAGTCTTAGGCCACTATTGACCATCTAAAGATACATCAGGAAGACCATCTGCTTCCAGACCATAGTTGACCACCCCTGGTAATTGAGACCACAAGTGACTGAAACCACGGGAAGAAAGACCATGGCTAAGTACTTGGAATTTGCTGAGAGTACATCTTTTTTTTTTTTAAAGCTTTTATTTATTTATTGGAGGGAGAGAGAGAGAGAGAGAGAGAGAGAGAGAGAGAGCGTGAGCATGAGGAGGGGAAGGGGCAGAGGGAGAGGACTCCAGGATCCTGACTTGAGCTGAAGGCAGATGCTTAACCGACTGAGCCACACAGGCACCCCTTGCTGAGAGTGCATCTTAAGTGTTCTCACACACACATACAAAAAGCTAACTATGTGAGGTAATGGATGTGTTAATTAACTTGATTGTGGAAATCATTTCTAAATACATATGTATATCAAATCATTACTTTGTACACTTGAAATATATATTATTTGTCAATTACACTTCAATGAATCTGGGAGGAAATTTTTTTTTTAAAGATGATCTTCCCCTATCCTAACTGCCTACTATAAGCAATTACTTATAAGCTTCAAATGATCTCTACAATTCTTTATAGACAATGGTTGGCATTCAAAAACAGGAATTGAAAAAGACAAGAATTAAGTACCCATCAGAAAAAAAAAAGTACTAAATAGAAACATACCTGGAAGAAAGCAACCCAGTTTCTGATTTCATTCCATATCTAAGGTGAATCTATATGAATATATAAATGTAAAAATAAAAAAAGAGAAACATATCTGGAGAGAATTTAAGTAATATTTATCAAACCCAGATTTTAAGATAAATGTGATTAATATGTCCAAGAAATCAGATGACCAACAGAGACCTAGAAACTGCGAAAGATACTCACGTGGATACTCTTAAATTGAAAAATACAGGGATCCCTGGGTGGCGCAGCAGTTTGGCGCCTGCCTTTGGCCCAGGGCGCGATCCTGGAGACCCGGGATCGAATCCCACGTCAGGCTCCCGGTGCATGGAGCCTGCTTCTCCCTCTGCCTGTGTCTCTGCCTCTCTCTCTCTCTCCCTGTGTGACTATCATAAATAAATAAAAATTAAAAAAAAAACATTAAAACTAAGTCCAATGTTTGTCAATACTCATTTAAAAAAAAAAAAAAAGAAAAATACAATAACTGGAAGTAAGAATAGATCAGGGGATCCCTGGGTGGCGCAGCGGTTTGGCGCCTGCCTTTGGCCCAGGGCGCGATCCTGGAGAGCTGGGATAGAATCCCACGTCGGGCTCCCGGTGCATGGAGCCTGCTTCTCCCTCTGCCTATGTCTCTGCCTCTCTCTCTCTCTCTGTATGATTATCATAAATAAATAATTAAAATAAATAAATAAATAGAAACAAAAGGACTTTATTTTTTTTTAAACAGACTCTTTTTTTAAAAAAATTTTTATTTATTTTATGATAGTCACACAGAGAGAGAGAGAGAGAAAGAGGCAGAGACATAGGCAGAGGGAGAAGCAGGCTCCATGCACCGGGAGCCCGACGTGGGATTCGATCCGGGGTCTCCAGAATCACGCCCTGGGCCAAAGGCAGGCGCCAAACCGCTGCACCACCCAGGGATCCCCAAAAGGACTTTAAAAAAAATTAAAAGAATAGATCAGATTCAGGTGAGGAAAGAATCACAAGATAATTAAATTCAGTTTAGGAAAGCAGAAGCCGAAACAAACAAAAAGCTATATTCACAATTGTGATGGTTAATTTTATGTGTCAACTTAGAGGGTGCTTTGGGTGAGATTTTTTTAAAAAGATTTTATTTATTTGAGGGCAGCCTGGGTGGCTCAGCGGTTTAGCACCTCCTTCGGCCCAGAGCGTGGTCCTGGGGACCCGGAATCGAGTCCCGCATCGGGTTCTCTGCGTGGAGCCTGCTTCTCTCTCTGCCGGTGTCTCTGCCTCTCTCTCTCCTCTCTGTATATTCTCATGAATGAATAAATAAAATCTTTAAAAATATATATTTTATTTATTTGAGAAAGAGTAATGTCCCTTCTTTCATTTCTGATTTTCAGAATTTTCTATTTTGTTTACCTCTGCTCTCATTTTTATTATTTCTTTCTGTTACATTTGAGTTTAGTTTGCTTTTATTTTTCTAGTTCTTTCTATTTTTCTAGTTAAGTGGTGGCGTT